TATATAACCGGGCGCAATTAAATTATTCTAAATATTATACTAAATTACACATTGTCATTTAGAGTCATATACTAAATTACATATGTATATTATATTGGCTTACAAGAAATAACGGAACGATATCACAATAAAATAATAAAAACTGAAATATAAATTTTATTTTAATTCCGAGTCAATGCATTGTTATAGTATTTCTTTTAAGTATATAAACTCAGTTCAAACTCAAACTCAATTCAGTGAATATTAAATTAAAAACAAGTCTTAAAACATTTATATGCAAAAGCGAGTTAAAACTTTGAAAAATAGATACCGCCGTCAGAGAAGAACCGTATGTCAACATTTTGTGTTTTTTTTTTTTTTTGTCCATTATCAATAAATATTCAGGAGTGTGTGTTCCATAAATATACCACAACAATAAAATTTTAGGAAATAATTAAATAATCAGTCGAATTTTCTGGCAGAAAGTCTTCGCGAATTAAAATTTAAAACTTGATTTTCTTGGAAACACAAAAAAAAAAGACGGCCTCTTGGTTCTCGACTGACGATATAACAAAAATAAACAAGAAAGTGATAAAAATACTTTTTCGTTTCACAAACATATTGCTTAATTTAATCTTAAACTTTTGGCAATACTTTCTTTACAAGGAATTGACGATAATTCTTTTGCTGTTTATTCCAAGCAAATTTCCCATAAAAATATATACACAAATAAGTTCATGAGGAAAATTGACATTAAATACATAATAAGAGACTAGCAGCAACTCAAAAGCAAATCTAATACTCGGTATGGCTTCCAACCGTATAGCTGTATTATCAACTTATAATTAGAGTTATAATTAGAATTATAAATAGAGTGCCGCAACACTTGAATAAAATCAGTAAAAAAACTTTCTCCTTCTTCAATAACTCAAGGGAGCTTTTTTCTTTCAAGACTGAAGTGTACCTAAATGTTTAAGAAAAATTTTAAAAATGCAGAAAATACAAAGCTCAAAAAAGTAATACTTTTTGATTATAAACCAAATTTAACTTTAAAAAAAATGTATAGAAAAAACTTACATCCATTTCTCTATAAAATAAAGCCAAAATTGCATCAAAATCCATTCTTGGACTTTTCTTGCCCTTCTGTGGAGGTGCTATCATAAGAAAAGGGAGCGCCTTAAATGCAAGCAAAGTTGTATCTTCTAAATAAAAATAAAAATAAATCAGGGAACAACTTGTATATACTTATAAACCTTTATAGGTAGATTATAAAAAAACCTTCTTTTGGATTAAAAGGGTATATTATGTAAGGAACTAATAAATGAAACAAGATGAGAAAGAGAAACTTCGCACTTTAGCAGATTGGCACATAGTCAAGTTGCAGCAGCTTAGTACTTATGCAGATTGACAATTATGTTGTAAAAATTCTTATTTAAGTTATAAAGTTCTTATTTATTAATTCTCCCCACTTAGGGTAGTAGACATATATATACCTTCATTATATTAGTCTTCTGACAAAGTATTTTTGAACATTGAATCTCTTGCTAGTAAAAAAATGTTTTGTTTGCAAGTGTTAAAGCCATCATGCAATGTAATATTACTTGATACCTCTTCAATGAAATAAAACTATCTTTGAAATTCCCTCATTAGTTTCATATCTAGGAGGGCCCATGTTGCATGTTTCAGAAATTACAAAAAGAGAAATTTTTTCTAAGTGTTTATTTTGTTTATATAATGTGTCAAGAAAGTAGTGTTATACATTGCAATAAGCCACTCAAGTGAGTGGCTCATTGCAATGTATAACACTACTTTCAAACTTACTCTTAAACAATAATAGAGTGGAATCTGCTCTAATGTCATTGAAAACTGATAAAGCAGCATTACCAATATCATTGCTTGAAATAACAGGTGATCAATGATCAGCAATGTTTGAAGAAATTTCAAAAAATTCAAGGAAAATCTATTTTTGTGAAATTGGCAAGCTTTGAAAAACTATTTCGAGCGCTGCAATATAGGAAACTAATGATTATGAAATATTGTTAACAGAAACAATTACTTCAGGTATAATGTAATAAGGAACACTGCTGCTTGTTCACAATGAAGAAACTAACAAAGGATCAATATATTCTATTGTTTTTTCAGGATAAGTGTAAACTTAATAAGTAGAATTCTCTGGGAAACTAGGCAACAAATATTCTAAAAAATTAGGCAATAAATTGTTACGATTATCATTTAATGGATTACTATACATTTTGCCTCAGGATTTTTATCAATGAAATCATTATCAATATTATGGTAACATTTTACATGTCTAATTAGCGACATATAAGCTGTGCAGGTACATTTACAGCCATTCTGTAAACATTTAATTGGATAAACAATTTCGCCAATACTATTATGACGTTGAAGATGATTTTGAAAAAAAATTAATAGTTTCATAAAAGTACCACATATATAGCAAATAAACATTTTAATAACTTTTATCAGAAAATTATATATATATATATATATATATATATATATATATATATATATACATATATATATATATATATATATATATATATATATATATATATATATATACATATATATATATATATATATATATAAAATGTGTAAAATAAAACCTATATTTTACACATTTTTTTAAGACTAATGTTATTATTTTATATAATTAATGTTAATATGTTATAATTTTTATAACTTCATAATAATGTTGTTAACGTAACTAAAATAATTTTATTAACATTTTAATACAATATATATATATATATATATATATATATATATATATATATATATATATATATATATATATATATATATATATATATATATATATATATATATATATATATATATATATATATATATATATATATATATATATATATATATATATATATATATATATATATATATATATATATATATATATATATATATATATATATATACACAATATATATATATATATATATATATATATATATATATATATATATATATATATATATATATATATATATATATATATATATATATATATATATATATATATATATATATATATACAATAATAGCATTAGTCTAATTAAATAAAGTCACACAACTAATTCATGTAGTAATGTACCGAAGGTCTTACCTAATTTTTAACAACTGAAAATCGATATTTTCCTCGCTTAACATATTTAATACGATATTACTAAAATATTACAAACCAAATATTTCTTTATGAAAAAGTTAACTATGTATGTGTTTAAAATTACCATGCAGCAATAAAAGTTACACTAAAATTTTCAGTAAAACTGAACGGTTCATAAAAAAAAACATGTCGCTAAAAACATGATTCTAGCCTCTTTTCCAAATAATTCGATACGAGAATCCAAGAAAGTGCAACACAAAGTGTGGCTTTTTTTACGCATATAATGAAGTTTAATTTCATAATTACAAGTGTGGCTTTAAAGCGCACAAGCGTAGCCTTGAAGTCAACAATTTGTGTAGCCAAAAAGACGCTACATTAAGTGTCGTGTTTTTTGTCCACACTATTTTTAAGCGTGTACGTAAAAATAATCCGATAAATATATCTCTATTTTATTCCAGTTAAAATAAATAATACAATAAATAAAAATAAATTAGCTGATTTTTCGGAGAAGTGTTTAGATGTTTGACTATAAGTTTATTTACCACATTTCAAACTAATGTTTGTGTATAAATATAATAAAAACGAAATTTGTGTAAGATTGATATGAAGAATTACTTGTTAGTAGTTATAGGAAGCTCGCAGAAGACTTAAGTCAGTCTTGTCATCGAGTACCTTTTTCTGGACGTGTAATACACATAAAAATCATTTGCATACGTGGTATGTATGTATGTTGTACATACGTACCTTGTTATTAATATATTTTTTTATTTTATCGATTTATATTAAAAGTTAAACTACATTTTTTAAAATTTTTTTTATTAATATTTAAAAAAAGTTCTTTATAGTTGTTTAATTTGATTATTGTAGATTTTAGCTTTATTTTCAGAGAGTGTTCGTTGTTTAGGTTTAATAGTGATTCGTTTCAGGAAACTAATTTGTTAAATAAATTAATAATAAAATAAAATAAATAAAATAAAATAAATAAACTAATTTGTTAAATAAAAAGGGACCACGGTATGTAATTGAGAATTTTGAAAGAGTTTTTGTTTTAAACGGTATCTTAAAGTTGCCTGTTGCTCTTGTATTGTATTTATTTATATTGTTTTTAAAAAAGTGTGCTGTAGAATGTTCTGGAACCAGATTTAGTTTATATTTAAACATGAAAAGTATATTTTGGAAAATATTTATTTAAATTATATTTAGTGCGTTCATTTGTTCCAATCAGGGTTGAGCATGAGCAAATTTATTTTTGTTGTATACTGGTCTTGAAGCGTGTTTTTGACGTAGGTAAAGTGGTTCTAATTTAGATTTGTGGGTACTGCCCCATGCTATATTGGCATACATCAGGTAGCTATGTATGAATGAAAAGTAGACAAGTTTTAGACAAAAATGGTCTTGTTTTGTATAGTAAACCAATGTTCTTTGATATTTTTGTGTTAATGTAGTTTATGTGGGGTTTCCAGGAGATATGTTCGTCAATTAGAAATTTGCATTCAGAACTCTTTTGATGGTTATATTTTCTATATTAAGTGTTGGTAGGTTCAGGGGTATTTTTTTAATTTGTTGACTAGAGTGAAATAGTATATACTTATTTTTTTCTATATTGAGTGACAGCTTATTGGATTGGTTTGAAAAAACAACGCGCGCAGTCGAGGCGAATGGGACAGCCGTCCGCATTTATTTTGTGACAAGTAACTCCTTCTATGTTAGTAGAAAGACACCTGTAAATTTACCTAGAAGTATGATAATTTTATGAAAGATGTCCGCAAAAAAAATAATTTTAAAAAGTCGATTAAATATGAATCACTTTGTACATTTAGTATGTACTATCAAAAAAAATTTATTTTACACAATATGTTTGCTTTTCGCTAATTTGCCCTTACGACTTAATTTTTGCTTATTAATATTATTGTTATTGTTATTCAAATTGTTTTTATTTATTATTATCATATCTTTTTTTTTTAGTGTCTGAAAATTTTCAGATAAAAAACAACTACAAAAAACGTACTGCGTATTAAGATCATACATTTGAGATAACTATTTAAGATTGTTATTTGTTATGAATTAAAAAAAAAGGTATTCATAAAAATTTTACGTCAGAAGTTTCACAACTAATACTAAAGATAAATTTATCCATCCTTGACCTATTCACTATCTTGACGAGTGAATAATATTATTTAGTATTATCTTTATGTAGCATTTATTGCGTCAATTTATTAAAAAATTTTGCGCAAGCAATTATTACTCATACGAATATACGAAATGTAAAAATTACTCACCTATTGGTTGCATCATTGACTCATTTATTGATTACAAGTAATCCAATAAATTAGTCAAATCATCCATTTTATAGAGTAGCATTAAAAACGCTTTGATATTTTTACGGTAACTCTTTTTTTTGCAGAATTGCAGAATGTTCAATTGAGGATGTTTAAGAAAAAAGATGTTTAAGAAAAAGCAAAAAAAAGTCTAAAACATGTCTAGTATCGACTGGGAAGTTTTCAACGAAGGATGTTGATTTAGACAATATTTTCGTCATAAGGATTTACTAATTATTTACAAACAATTTTACAAGTAAATTTGAAAGTTTCAAAATAACCAACATTTGTTAAATGTTTGTTTATTTGTTTGTTTTTTACCTCAATTCACCTCGCCAAAGCCGCGAAGGCCGCTACAGTTGAGGAGGTTACTATAATTGTGGTTACAACCTTCTCTGAACTCTATAACTCTGAAACACAAACCTTGACGAACAAGGCCGTGCGGAGAAACAATTTGAGCGCGGTAACCAGGAACATGGTGGTAATCAAACTCGAAACTTCTTGTTTATGAGTCAGGCGCTCCATTACCACATATATGTTGAAAAAAGTCTGAAAAAAAAATAGATAGAAACAAAAAAAAAAGTGTAAATGATTAATTTACTTTAGGAATAAATTAATTGTTATAAATTGCCTAATAAATTAAATTGTGTTGCATACCAAGAATCTAAGTTGTTTACTTTAAAAGTACATTAAAAGTAGGGGAAGTTTGGCCACAGTGAATCGGATTTCTTTATTTTTTAAATTGAGCAAAAGTTAAAATATTTGTTTTATTTTTTTCAAGGCAAAATGATTGAGATGTCCTTTATGATAAAAAATCACTAAAACCCAAATATTTATTATTTAACTGCTCACAGAAAGGTTTAAAGTGAGATGTAATATGTTATTTACTGTGCCTCAGACTTTGACATAGTGAATAAATGAACGCAGCCGTAAATTAATGATAGTGAATACGGACATACCCAAATAACTTTGAGGCTGAGAGGGTAAAGACACTGTACACTATACTTTTGGCATAATTTTATTAATTAAATTATTATAAAATCAAAATAATAGACAATTTTAAAATTGAGACAAAATTATTGATAACATAACTTAAAAAAATATTAAAAAATTATTCAAATATTATTATTCATAACTTAAAACTAGTAAATTCATTTTCATGTAGCTTGTTTGTTAAAAATGCATGAAATTTATCTTTAAGATCATTAATGGGGCATAGTGAATCAACCTATCGGCTGTACCCCAATTCACTGTGCCCCACCATAACAAATTAAGTTTAAGCCTAATTTCTTGAGACATGAGTGTTGTTAAAATAAAAACTTAACTAGTAAAAATAAAATATATTTCCCTACAATTTTTTTTTAAACAATTAAAGAAAGAAACGCAGTTTTTGAAACTATGTTGCAATTCACCCCGGTTTCCTTTCATTTCAAAAATGTTGTTGTACTTCAAAAGTTAATATAGGGGAAGTTGGGGTACAGTGGATCAAAGGGCACAGTAAATTAGAGGTATTTTCTCAAAGATTAGAATTTTGTTCATCATGATAGTATAATCAATTTATTTGCTCATATACCAGCCATTTTTATTTATAGTTGTTACCACATAGTTTTTTACTACTGGTTTTTGGTAGGTAATTTTTATTTTTTAGCTAACTAAAGTAAATTTTCTTACCGTCCTTATCATTTGTTATGGAGATCAAGGTTAAAATAATTTTAAAAATTGAAGTTTTTCATTTGGATTATTTATATTTATGCTTCCTTTTACTAGTTAAGTTTTTATTTTAACAACACTCATGTCTCAAGAAATTAGGCTTAAACTTAATTTGTTATGGTGGGGCACAGTGAATTGGGGTACAGCCGATAGGTTGATTCACTATGCCCCATTAATGATCTTAAAGATAAATTTCATGCATTTTTAACAAACAAGCTACATGAAAATGAATTTACTAGTTTTAAGTTATGAATAATAATATTTGAATAATTTTTTAATATTTTTTTAAGTTATGTTATCAATAATTTTGTCTCAATTTTAAAATTGTCTATTATTTTGATTTTATAATAATTTAATTAATAAAATTATGCCAAAAGTATAGTGTACAGTGTCTTTACCCTCTCAGCCTCAAAGTTATTTGGGTATGTCCGTATTCACTATCATTAATTTACGGCTGCGTTCATTTATTCACTATGTCAAAGTCTGAGGCACAGTAAATAACATATTACATCTCACTTTAAACCTTTCTGTGAGCAGTTAAATAATAAATATTTGGGTTTTAGTGATTTTTTATCATAAAGGACATCTCAATCATTTTGCCTTGAAAAAAATAAAACAAATATTTTAACTTTTGCTCAATTTAAAAAATAAAGAAATCCGATTCACTGTGGCCAAACTTCCCCTACTTTTAATGTACTTTTAAAGTAAACAACTTAGATTCTTGGTATGCAACACAATTTAATTTATTAGGCAATTTATAACAATTAATTTATTCCTAAAGTAAATTAATCATTTACACTTTTTTTTTTGTTTCTATCTATTTTTTTTTCAGACTTTTTTCAACATATATGTGGTAATGGAGCGCCTGACTCATAAACAAGAAGTTTCGAGTTTGATTACCACCATGTTCCTGGTTACCGCGCTCAAATTGTTTCTCCGCACGGCCTTGTTCGTCAAGGTTTGTGTTTCAGAGTTATAGAGTTCAGAGAAGGTTGTAACCACAATTATAGTAACCTCCTCAACTGTAGCGGCCTTCGCGGCTTTGGCGAGGTGAATTGAGGTAAAAAACAAACAAATAAACAAACATTTAACAAATGTTGGTTATTTTGAAACTTTCAAATTTACTTGTAAAATTGTTTGTAAATAATTAGTAAATCCTTATGACGAAAATATTGTCTAAATCAACATCCTTCGTTGAAAACTTCCCAGTCGATACTAGACATGTTTTAGACTTTTTTTTGCTTTTTCTTAAACATCTTTTTTCTTAAACATCCTCAATTGAACATTCTGCAATTCTGCAAAAAAAAGAGTTACCGTAAAAATATCAAAGCGTTTTTAATGCTACTCTATAAAATGGATGATTTGACTAATTTATTGGATTACTTGTAATCAATAAATGAGTCAATGATGCAACCAATAGGTGAGTAATTTTTACATTTCGTATATTCGTATGAGTAATAATTGCTTGCGCAAAATTTTTTAATAAATTGACGCAATAAATGCTACATAAAGATAATACTAAATAATATTATTCACTCGTCAAGATAGTGAATAGGTCAAGGATGGATAAATTTATCTTTAGTATTAGTTGTGAAACTTCTGACGTAAAATTTTTATGAATACCTTTTTTTTTAATTCATAACAAATAACAATCTTAAATAGTTATCTCAAATGTATGATCTTAATACGCAGTACGTTTTTTGTAGTTGTTTTTTATCTGAAAATTTTCAGACACTAAAAAAAAAAGATATGATAATAATAAATAAAAACAATTTGAATAACAATAACAATAATATTAATAAGCAAAAATTAAGTCGTAAGGGCAAATTAGCGAAAAGCAAACATATTGTGTAAAATAAATTTTTTTTGATAGTACATACTAAATGTACAAAGTGATTCATATTTAATCGACTTTTTAAAATTATTTTTTTTGCGGACATCTTTCATAAAATTATCATACTTCTAGGTAAATTTACAGGTGTCTTTCTACTAACATAGAAGGGGTTACTTGTAACAAAATAAATGCGGACAATCCTATCTGTTAATCAAACATTGGTAAATATAATGTAAAACTCAGATTCCAGCAATATTAAAAATATAACAAAATAAAAATGCAAATTATCCCGCTTCGCGAAAAATTCGCAACAGCGAACGAAGTAAGTTGTTGGTAATGTCCTATCAAAAGTAATGTCCGACAAAGTAACAAGATCTTTATATTTAACGTAGAAATCATTTAATTTATCAATTTCATTTCAAATAAATAATGAATATAAGTAAGATAATTATAATTGCAAATTTTTGAAATTTAAATATTGAAATTAAATAATTTTAAGTTTCAGCTAAACATTTTTTTAAAAAAAACTTTTTTTTTGTTTTACTTGCTTTTAGACTAAAATTTATCACAGGATTGCATTTGGAGTTTGCAAATTGCAAATGAAGTGAAGCGTGATTCGCAAAAGATTCTACTTCTTCTATCTTTTCTTCTATTTGCTCGGAAGAATTTTCGCAAAGCTATCAAAGCAACCCAAAACAATAGGCTAAATCAACAATACATAAAAATTGAAAAACTTAAAAACTCTAACCTAAAAAACTTCTGGAATACTTTTAAGTGTATAAAAAAGGATTCAAATTCAAAACTTTTTACTATAAAAAATAAAAAAGATAAAGAATCCATCACTACAGAGATTGCTCCTATTTTTGAAAAACGGTTAAACACTGATGGATTTACTAATCTTCAAATTCTACCTTGCAAAAACGCTGATGAGATATTAATTAAAACAGCTTTTTTTTGTCTAAAATCAAATAAATGCAAGGATCATTACAATATCTCTCAAGAACATTTAAAACATGCCTAATGTGACGCACTAACACAATGGTTAAGAAACTTATTTCACTTTTCAATTAATCACGGATGAACCCTACATCAATATCAACGTCAACTACTATACTTAAATCCTATAAAAATCACTTACTGATCCAAACAATTACCGTGGTATCTGCATTATTCCAATATTTACTAAACTTTTAGAATACTCTATCTTATGCCCGGAGATAAAAAAAACTCATCAACTTCAATTTGGTTTTAATAATAAGAGCTCAACCCTCCATGCTAAATTTATTGTAAGCGAAACAACTAAACATTATAACCGCAACAATTCGCCTAATTATATACGTTCACTAGATGCTGAAAAGACGTATGGCAGTTGTAACAGGGATATTCTTTTTAATAAACTTTATTTGGTAAAAATTATCAAATATTTCTTTTATATAATAATATTTTATCAAATTTATTTGAGCAGCCGTGGCGCAGTAGTAGCACACTTGCCTTAGAAACAAAGGATCCGTGGTTCAAACCCCACCTCTGAGCAAGTTTTGGAACATCGGTTAGGAAGGAGGCGTGAACTTCCAATTAAATGCTCATCCGTGGTGCTCTGTGATAAGACCGTAAGGACTTCTTGGGATACCTAAATAAAGTTAAAAAAAAAAATATCTGCCTCTCCAAATAGTTAACACTATATCTTTTTTATACCGTAGCGGCAGTGCAACTGTCTCATACCTAGGTTTCAAATCAGCCTTATTTGATCTTAAGTAAGGAGTGAGACAAAGACCGATTCTATCACCCTACCTATATAACATATACACTAAAAAGCTACTCGAAACTATAAAAAAATATGACATTGTTGGTACTACTATATATGGAAACTTGACTGGTGTTGAATCTTATGCTGATGACATTATTTTTCTCAGCTATGTCTTTAATGTCTAGTAGAAACTATATACACTCTCTATTTAAAATTAAGGAGATGTCAAATTATATAGACCAAAACAAAATAAATCTATTTATCCACTTTTTAAACAATAAAGTAACCTTTGAAATCATTAATTCCCAATATAACAACTGTTCAGTTAAATCTTCTTTTTTAGATGATATAAAAGAATTATGTAATATTCATAAACTGAATATGAAAACCTTAATACTGGTTAAAAAAAAAGTAAAACTTAGAGACTCAGAGAATGTAATTCCTGAACTCTTCATATTTTGATGCAAGTGGTTTAATGTTGGAATGTAAAACAATAACGAGCAACTTTTAAAAACACACTTGAGGAAAAGGTTAACAACACCTAGGACTGACAGAAAAATTAGGGATATTTGTCTACAACAAAGAAAACACCCTGTCAACTTATCGATCAAGATTGTCAATGAATAGGAAACTGATTTTCCCAATTTACAGTCCAGAGATGTCTTAAAGAATTTGGTTTAACATTACGCCGGCCAGTACGTAAATCAAAGTTAACACCCATTATGATGAACAAACGTCTTAACTGGATAAAAAAAACAACAAAAACTTCACAAAGGATGACTGGAAAAAAGTAATTTAACTTGATTTTGGTATCTTTTAAACCTTATTTGTGCATGTTTTAGGTTTGTTTTTCAGATGAGAGCATTTTTCAGGTCATGAGTGAGCTTTGTTAGAAGAATGGGCGAAATATTTCACTCAGATTGCATTGTGTTAACCGTAAAGCATCCTAAATTTGTCATGGTGTGGTCGGTAATTAATTTTGAAGGTACTGAAAGGCTGCATATAATAAAAGGGACAATGAGACAAGATCAGTATCAGGCAATTCCTAATGATAGACTAATACCACAGTTGGTACAATGGTTCCCAAATGAAGAAAAATACATTTTTCATATGCATGATGGGGCACAAGGCTAAACCATTACAAAGTTTTTGAAAGGATTGGCTTGAAAATTCTCTGGATTTAAATTCGATTGAGAATGTATGGGAGCTGCTTAAGCGGGAAATGGCCAAAAGCACAATAACAATGAAGCAGGAGTTGAAAATTAATATGTGTGTAGAACCACAGTGAAGAGCTGCAAACAACGGTTAAAAAGTGTTTTGAGTATGTTATGGTGCATTCAAACCGTAATTGTAGCAAAGGAACTTCATACAAAATATTAGCTATCTAATTTTTTCATGATTTTTTAAAATTATTTTCTATTATTATCTGTTAAATATATTGTCCACGAAAATCATATTCGCTACATAAATTTATTTTTTTCTTGTTAAGTCTAATAATATGGTAAGCCTCTGTAATTGAGTTTAACCTTCAGATAATATTTGGCTTTCTACATAACCACCATTTTGTCCCAGTATTACTTATATTAGAGACTATTTTATCTCTCTCTTAAAGCCAGATACTCTATTTTTGAATCTTTGTTCTAAGGATTACACGCTATAAACTAGTGGCATAAAAACTTTTCTCATTTCATGTGTATAAAATATAAACCATATAAAAGTTATATAAAAGTTATAAAAAACAAGGGCCACAATAACAACTGACTTTTTGCAGTGCATTTTTTTTGTAGAAGACCACCAATGTAATTTTCCATTGTTATATTTATTGCCTACTAAATCAAGTTGTTGCTATAAACTTCTCCACACTTGGACTTAAAGCCATGAAATCTTTCATTATTTCCCCACCGAACACTTAAAATTTTAACCCTATTTGACAATTTTTGAGAAACCTACCTTTTTTCTGATTCTATCTGATCATTTTCCATGAATCTCGGATCCAAAATAAATGCGGCTTTTCATCTCGCACACTGATTTCCGCTTTTCAACAGCCTCAGTTTTTAATTTAATTTTAACCGAAAAAATTTCTTTAAAAAACCTCTTTGTTGGAAACACTGTTGTTGGAAACACAGTTCCATAAACGAGGCTTTATAGTAAAGTTTGTATATTTAAAAATTCACTTAGTTTTGATCTATAGTTTTTTTCTAAAACTGAACAAAAAGGTTGTTCTCTGAGACTGAGAACTGATCATGATTTTGAAGACTTTTATAGTACAACTGTTTTATGTAGATAGCTTTTAGTGGTGTCCTAGAAAACCTTGAGTGAAAACAACCCTTGAGTTAAAAAACTAGCTAAAAAAGTTTTTTTAATTAAAAACGCCGGCTTTTGTTATAACTATCTTATTTTTATGTTCATAAAAATATTGAGTAAATAAAAAAATGGCATTTTATTTAACTCATTTTTTGAAAAAATATCTATACCCAACACGATTTTCAAATAACAATTATATTCAAACAAAAACGAACTATTCTACTACAAAGTTCTAAATTACCGAACACGCCAAAAAATGCTGGTTTAAAAACGAAATATTCCCCAAACCAATTAAACAAAAACTTTTAATAAATGACAATAAATTAAGTTTTTTCTGAAGCTTTTTAATTAAGAGTAACCAGGTGTTTTTTTACTGCAATTATTGATCATATTTATTTGCAATGATTTGTTTAAATGTTTTACAATATAAGTTCTCAGTGACGTAGGAAGGTCAAGATGAGGAAGCTGAAACGGAAATTAAGGGAACAGGTAAAAGCAGCCAGAATCAGAATTTGAATAAAAAAAAAAAAAAAAACACAGAAAATTTCCAAAATGGGGAGGGTGAGAGCCCTGTTCCAACGTCGGTCTACGAGATTTTGAATGTACGTATAAGTGTTCGTGCGAATATGTTTATATGCTCTTTACACATTATTATTCAATTTCAAAATTATAACGCTGTGTTTATAATAAACTTTAGTTTATACAAAACATATATTATAATATATAAATAATGTTGCTAGATAAATTTTTCTTTTATAAAAATTACAAAATCACGTAAAGTATTATCATACTGAAATTATCTTCTTCTTGTCCCAATCATGAATTTATATATTAAAGCTTTTCATAATGGAAAAAAGACATGATAAAATAAAAAGAGATATTAATTTATTCAACTTATATTTAAAGTGATGTAATTGTATTCCGACAAGAAAGATTTTTTTTTTTTAATTATGGATTCTTATTATCTAACAAAAAGAACTTAAGTTTATGGAGAAAATTGGCTCCAGGTATATACGCAACGTTCGAGAAAATCGAGACAGCAATTATGTCTCTTTGTTGTAAAGTTTTTGAAATCTTACAAAGTTTATCTTTTAAATTTTCATTTACTTTTATGACTTAATTTGTTTGCTTATAATTGTTTGATTTCTTTAAAAATTTTAATAAGTAAATCCTGCGACGCAATACAAGAATTCGGAAAAGGTTATCAAGCATCAGAAACATCTTAAGTGGACGGTTTAAGTGGACACTTCTGATAATATTAAACCAAATTTTAATATAAAAATTCATTGCCACATTTTACTTAGTGGAAAGTATAAAAATTATTGAGTTTTATTTAATTTCAAATCAATTTTTATATAAAAAATGTTATTTCACAATTTTTAAATTAATAGTAATTAAATTAAATTTTTTTTTTTGCATATAGTAATGAAAATTACAGATTATTGCTTTAAGGAGATTAATTCGAAACGCATCGTAATTTTGTAATTGAAACTTCATTTGAATATAAACAGTTTATTAAATAAACGCTCGCGTTCTTCATTTTCGTTTAAAAAGTCGCATGTTTTGCGTGTCTAATTGCGTGATTAATACAACTTCCAGTTTATAAAAACAACAACAATTTCCTTATTAGTTATAATGTTATTTCTAATAAGTCATGATATAAAAATAAAAAGGCCGGGTGAATAAAAAAAAGCAAATTTACTCAGCGTTTTTAGAGTAATTGCTCAGCTTTACGTGAATTAAATTTTGAGGAAAATCGAACAAATTTTTATTCACGTAAAGCTGAGCAATTACCGAGTAAAAACAATTGCTTCTTTTTATTCACCCGGCCTAAAGAGATCAAGTAAAAAAACTCAATTTAATGGTGATAGCGGTGTTGCCGATTTATTGTTTATTCAGATAAAATTTTAAACACAATATTTAGTTTTTTCCTTCAAAATATATAGCAGAGATTTCAAAATACTCGTGCCTCGTTTGCTCCTTGACTTTGTTGTTAATATATTTGTGAAAACGCATTGTCTCATCGTCTCGATAAACCAATGACAAACAGTTAGATACTGGGTGGACAGAGAGAAGCTTTAAATTACAAAAAAAAAAAAGAAAAAAAAAAGACATTTTAAAAATCCAATACTTGAATAATTTGAAATATATTCATTTTGAGATTTAAAAACATGCAAAAAAACATTAAATTTTGGAACACCCTTTGGTAACCTTATTACCCGATGCTGTCTTACTCGCTAGTTTTTGTGTAATTTTTTTATTGAGAATTATGGGATATCTAGTACAGCCAGATATATAAACAATAATATTTTTGTAAAAACGTTTCGAGTTATTCTTAAAGAATATCGATTTTACAAAAATGGTTAGACTGATTTTTAGCTAATAATACTTTATAAAGTTATGACATCAAGTTTTGTTTACTTTAAAATCAGTTTGGCAGTACTGAAATATAAATAATAAAATCATAATAGTATAGCATTTTAAAACAAAAAATTATTTAATAAAGCAATTTAAAAAGCTTTAAAAATGCTGTTAGTTAAAGTTATTATTAACTATGTTGTAATGTTACTATGGCGATATGTTTTTATACAAGTTATGTTATGGCGATATGTTTTTATACATACTATAAGCAAAATCCAGAAGACATTATTAGGTATTTTATAAAATATCTAAACAACACAAAAATAAATGCAAAAGAAAAAAAAAAAAAATACATTTGAAAACAATTTAATTGCCTTATAAAAAAAGTAAAGAATGTGCATGCTTATCTAATTTTGTTGATTATATTTACTATTTGACTGTACTACACATCCCAGAATTCATTGCGTTACCTCTTCAAATTTTCCTAAGTCGGATATCTTTGCTTATAACTTTGAAAAACCCTAAAAAAATCTTGCTCAAAACCTAAAAAGTGTTTCGAACATCAAAAATTCCAAAACAACTATTTATAAAATCAGATCACACTTTTTAAACAAAAATCAGGTCACACTTTTTAAACAAAAATCAGGTCACACTTTTTAAACAAAAATCAGGTCACACTTTTTAAACAAAAATCAGGTCACACTTTTTAAACAAAAATCAGGTCACACTTTTTAAACAAAAATCAGGTTAGGCCAAAATGTTTCCAAAATAAACAATTAAATTTCCAGATTGCTATGTAAATACAACTTTAGACTGAGGTTTAAAAAAATAATAAAAAAATATTTGTCGAGTTAAATCTGAGCATTTGAACGATTTTAGAACCACATGAGTGAAATATTTAAAAGTATACATAAAATCAAAAAAAAAAATCTTTAAACTTCAATAAAAGTTTTGATTAGCATTTAAATTTTGAAAAAAGAATAAAAAATCACCTCTTCGTCTTCATCTCTAGCAATGTAGCTTACAAATCCACCACACATCAAAGCATTCCAATCTAAAATAATAACCAGTATGTTAGCAGCCAACTTTAAAGATAAAATGCAAAACAAAGATATTTAAAAAATTTCATAAAACCAACCATCACAAGAAAAAGAAAGGATCAAATCCATAGCAAATTCCTTTCCACACGGGTCAAAATCGCTGACTAACGTGTAACAACCGTGTTGCCACTTGCGTACGTTTGTTACACATGACGATGAAGTAGATTTATTGCTTTTTGAGAATGATTCAGTTCCATGCGTTTCGTCATGATTAGGTTCAACATTTTCTAAGTCAACGAGTTCGATTCCCGTCAACTTTGTCAAAAGTTTATAAAATGGTCGCGACCTCAGCAAAGTTAGAAATTGAGCAAGAAAAGTATCAACGTTGTCTTCTTCAAAATCGTAGGTCAACCTAAAAGATTTAATTTAATGATTTTTTTTACTGTTATATTCATCTACAGTTTTTATTTATTTTGTTATAACTGTTATATATTTTTACTATTTTATTTAAAAAAAAATGATATTGATTATTTTTTTGCAATTATTGTATTTATTTATACAAAATATTTTTAAAACTATAAGCTATATTGTATTTATTTTTAGTATATTTTTTTTAATTTATTATTATTTATATTATAGTTATTATACAATTTCTGTTCATTATTATTTATAATTTACTTTTTTTCATCTCATAAATTCTTTTCCTTTTTTAATTAGTTTTGCTTTTAGTTCATTCTTTGTTTTATTTATTGCATTTTTTAGAGTCACTCCATTGACTAATTTATAGCTATAAGAGCAGTACCTAATATTATCATTATACAATAAAATGAAAAATAAACAAATGATATAAAAAAGAACCATTTTCATTTTTAAAAAAGTTTTAAACAATTATTTACTTTTTACTTTATTGTTACATTTAAAAAACTAAAAACAACAACAACAACAAAAAACAACAAGTAAAACAAAATACATAAAACTATATATATATATATATATATATATATATATATATATATATATATATATATATATATATATATATATATATATATATATATATATATATATATTTGCATACTTAGCTTTACACAAAACATCATTAATGATGCCATAATAAAAAAGCCACCTGCCGGGGACTTCAGTACATACATCAACTGAAGTTTTGGGCAGTTACTATCAAAATATAAAGAAATTTTCGGTTAAATTTTTTTTTAACCTTTTTTTAATTTAAATAAATTAATATTTTTAAATGATTAAAATTAGGAGAGCCAACCCGCAAAATTAAGGAATTGTGTATATGTATGTATGTATGTATGTATGTATGTATGTATGTATGTATGTATGTATGTATGTATGCATGCATGCATGCATGCATGTATTTATGTACACTACCATCCATAATTATTTAAAAAACATTAAAAAAAAATGCTTTAATTTAAAAATTTTTAATGTTCATTTTTGTATTATTTATTAAATTATTATTTAGTAAATAATAATTTAATAAGTATTTTGATTAAAATGCTTTGATAAAAATCATAAAAATGTTAAAGTGAACAAAACTACATTAAAAAAATGGACCATCAATGAATGGAAATGTGGACCAACGAGTCAAAGTTTTCTTTGGTTTCAAGAGAAGGTTTGTTTGTCCAAAGAAAAGTGATATAAAACAGTGTATACTATCGACTGTAAATGTAATGTTAAGATGTGGGACTGTTTTGGTTGGAGCACTACAGGTGGCATTGTAAAAATAGAGGGAATAATGACAAAAGTAGTTTATTAGGACATATTTAAAAAGTCATGCTATACCTTTGGAATGTTGGGGTAAAGGAGGCTATACAATTTTTTAGAAGAAAACGACCCTTTTTTGAAATTTTTTTTTTAAAAAAAACAACAAGCTTAAATTCAAAACATACTCTTCAAAACAATGTATAAGTTATTACTGAGTTGAAAAATGATCAAATATTGAGTAGAATGATTTAGCATCCCTAATGACCAGAGCTCCTGTCAGACTTTTATTGGATGAATTAAAAGTAATGTCAAAAACTAATGCCTAATGATGCAAAAAATGTAGACAAAATTGGTTAGCGAGTTGCATTAAACTGACTTCCACAAATTAGATAAGTTTTTAAGTAGAATGTCAAGAATATATGTATTTTTGTATAAAAATTGTATACATATTTCCATTCTTGCTAGCTACCACTCTACTGTAAACTAAAACTACTCAGTATCATTTAAACAAAAAACAATAAAATAACTTTTTAAATAGTTTTTTATTGTGCTAATTTTTAGATTTTAAAACTTTATCTGAATTTAATAAATTGTGAGGATGTGGGAATGTGAGGATGTGGGAATGTGAGGAAATTCTACTGGTAAATAATTTATTTAGCAAGCGGTTTAGATACAACAACTTAAAATTTTTTCACACTAAAAAAACTTTACCTCTGATTGGCTATAAATTTTCGTGAGAATTTTGTTTGAGACAAAATTTCTTCAAGCTTTATATATTTTTCATTCTAAAATTAATTGAACTGTAAAATTACTATCTGTTCTCGTCTTTTTCACATTTTTTCAAAAAATTTTAAAATTATTATTATTAAATCAATATTGTTTACCTTTTTTAAAAAATTTAAAAAACAAACAAAAACTGTATGCAAAAAAATCAAACTACTATCGTAATAAAAAAAAACTTTTTTTTGAGATATGAAATGACTTGAAACTTAAATTAACTTAATTGATTATAAAATGTATCTAATTCTTCAACAACTGTTGAAACTTTGTCGAGTTGTTTAAAAAAAGCTTTTCTTTTACTTTTCTCGTAATAGCATTGGCTTTAACCAACAAATCCATAGAGTCAGATTTTTTAGCTTGAATTCTAAACCATTCAATTTCTTCATTTAGGGTTACAACACACAAGATAATCTTTTTATCTCTTTCTTTATCATTAATTTCTTGTGATGCTTTTTCTGCTTTTCTAGTAGTTTTCTAGCGCTGAAAAAAGAAATTTGGTGCATGTTCACAATAAAAAACTTTTTGTCAACACTACAACCTTACTCAACAGCACAGCGACTAGAGATAAAGTGAAAACTTGTCAACACTACAACCTTACTCAACAGTGACTAGAGATAAAGTGAAAACTTGGGTAAAGATTTTCCTTAATAACTCAAAATGTTTGTTACCATTACTAAAGGAAGCAATTATAAAATAGGATCCGTTTCCAAGTAAAGTTTATTATATTTTTCTCACTGCCCAAATCAAAAAGAATTAAAGAATTTTACCATTAAAGCCAATTTCAAAAATTTCATGTTGTCTTATAATATCAGATCAATATCAGATATTATAAGAATTCTATAGTCAATAGCAGATATTTTCGTGATACAACCAGTAGAAAGATTATCTTCCATAGTTTATGAGCTCATCCTATCCTTAGCCAAAATTTAATTGAGGGGTTTTCTTCAGAATTTTCTTAAGTGCCCTAAGTTTAACTTTTTAACTGAATCATTGTATTGGATGTTACTAGTAGCAAGGTCAACTGTCCTGACCATAACTGATTGATACAAACTCAAACAAAAATTAAAAAAAAATTATTTTGACTATTTATTTAACTGATATGTTTTTTTGAATAACACACAAATTTAAACTATTTTCTAAAAAGGGCTGACATGACTGAATAAAATGATAATCTATAACTTACACAACAATAATATTTTTTTCGAAAAGTTTTAGACTAGATATACCAGTACTTTGCAAGTATCTTGAAATATCAATATTAGAAAAAATTAAACATCATTTGAAAAAGTTCCATAAATTTTCCATGATTTTCAATGAAAATTTAGAAATTCCATGACATTTCCATGATATCCATGACCAGTGGCCACCCTCATTATGACATTTCCAAGATTTCCATGACGACCAGTGGCCACCCTCATTATGACATTTCCAAGATTTCCATGACGACCAGTGGCCACCCTCATTATGATTCATAAAAAACAGATTTTGAGATTTTTTGTGATTTTAAGGTTTAGTAAATAATTTTTCATTCAATACAATAATTTTGTGTGTTATATAAAATTTTTTGAAGTTTATACGACATGAAACCTCAACTAAACAAACCAATAAAACAAAAAAAAAAACAATAAAAAAACAACAAACCAAAAAAAACAACAACAAACCAAAAAAAACAACAACAAACCAATAAAAAAGCAAAAAACCAATAAAAAAGCAAAAAACCAATAAAACAACAACAAAGCAATAAAAAAACAACAAATCAATATAAAAAACAACAAACCAATAAAAAAGCAACAAACCAATAGAAAATCTTTTAATTGAATTTCCGATTCCTCCTCAAATTGTTCTTGAATATCATCAACAATTTCCGTGTTCAAATAAATAGGATTTATCCACTCAAGTAATAAATCATCCTAAAATAAATAGGATTTATCCACCCAAGTAATAAATCATCCTAAAATATACAAAATTGCTACATGTTTACATATACAGTGTGCCAAAAAATATATGCAGCAAATGATTTCTTTTTAAATTTTTCATTTCTAAACTTAAATAAAATACAAACAAATACTTTTTTTTGGGAGAGAAATACTTTAAATTAAAGAAGAAATATATTTAGTTCAATATTTTATTTCCATTTTATAAATTCCATGATCACATTTTTTTAAATTTTTAATAAATGTAAATTGACTTTGATTTAAAGTGCAAAATAAAAATTGCAGCAAATTTTTTTTCTGAAGGAACTTAATTATAAATCACATTTTAGTATTAATAAATCACATTTTAGTATTTGGTGGGTCTGCATTTAACATGGATAACAGCTTCACATCATCTTGACATTAATTCAACCAAACTTTTTGTAACTTGATCCTGTTACGCATTGTTTGAGAAGTGTTCTTGATGCCGTGCTCATATTCCAACAAATCAAAAAGAATCGATTCCAGTCTGCTAGAAATTTAGCTAAAAAATTTCAAAAATAATAACTTTTTTGTATTAAAATTAATATTTACATTTTAATGCGTAAAAAATGTGTATTTTGCACTTTAAATCAAAGTCAATTTACATTTATTAAAAATTTAAAAAAATGTTATCATGGAATTTATAAAAAGGAAATAAAATATTGAACTAAATATATTTCTTCTTTAATTTAAAGTATTTTTCTCCCAAAAAAAATATTTATTAGTATTTTATTTAAGTTTAGAAATGAAAAATTTGAAAAGAAATCGTTTGCTGCATTTTATTTTTGGCACACTGCATGTATACAAATATATATATATATATAATATATATATATATATATATATATATATATATATATATATATATATATATATATATATATATATATATATATATATATATATATATGTATATATATATATATATATTTTCCTTCTTTTTCACCTGTTAAGTTTTTTTATTTTTTACAACTGCTTCTTGTTTCATACATAGATTGGCAAATATGTTGTTGTGATGAAATTCATACTTTTGTTTATTTTCAATTCAGTCTATATATATATATATATATATATATATATATATATATATATATATATATATATATATATATATATATATATATATATATATATATATATATATATATATATATATATATACATATATATATATATATATATAAATATATATATATATATATATATATATATATATAAAAGTCATGTTCGATCTTATATATACAGTGTTATATATATATATATATATATATATATATATATATATATATATATATATATATATATATATATATATATATATATATATATATATATTTAGTCTTTTTTTAAAGACAATTTTTTTTAGAGACGTTTTTATAAAACAAAGTTATTATTTTTAAATTTTTTATAAAATACTAGGGAGATACATCATACGTTTAAGGATAAAAATGGGGCGGTTTTCCATGCTCATATTACCATTTTTATTATTTTTTGTTCATTTAAAGGAAGACGCAACAAAATATTCATTGATAGATCAAACATTTATTTTCACCCTAGATTAATATATATATATATATATATATATATATATATATATATATATATATATATATATATATATATAATATTATGTACTTAGTTGAGCAATTAAATGTCACGTTAAAATAGGAGACTGGATCAAGTAAAGATTTGGAGAGCACCAATCATTTGTTTTGTTCTTTTTCCAAAAAAAAAAAAAAAAAAAATTAGTATAGTATATAAGGTATAGAAAAAAATTAGCAAAAAAAGTGAGAAAATGTCAAAATCAAATATATATAGCTTATAGTAAAAAAGTGAAAATCAAAGAGTAAAAACAATTAAAAAAGTCAGAAAATACAGCAATAACAAAAAATCAAGAGTCTTTAGAAACTAGATAATGATTCCTTTCAAATTCAACAGAACAGACAAAGCAGAACAGACTTTGAATAAGAACCAATATATTCTAAAAATATACCCAACAGACTCATGTTATTTTGTATGTAGGTCTGGTTTCACATGTGAGTAAATAGTTTTATTTCCGCATGTTATTTTTTGTAGATATTTTATCTAGTTATATGTTCCATGAATTCACATACAGTGAATCTATAATAACCAATTAATTTATATAGCACAGTGAAGTTTGTGAATATCAACTAATTTATTTAAGCACAGACAAAGTCAGTGCACATACACTGAATGAGACTTTTAGTTTGGGAAGGAACCCTTTTATTCTAGCACCATAAAATAGAGAACAAAAATACTTCATTTCAAATCATTGTCTTCTTGTATCATATATTGTATATATATGTACCATGACATGGTACATGTATATACAATACATGCAGGCCTTGTTTTAAAGCGTTACGCCTAGAGCGATTTACGTACGCCTTAAGCGATTTTTACATACACGTAGAGCTGTTTTGGTTAAGCTACTTTTTATCATTTTTTAACTTTTAAATTAGCGGTAACATAAAAGAAGTAATTAATTTTTAAAAAAACCACATTAACTTTTAAATAACAATATGTAAAGATATTTATTAAAAAAAAGAATTTACTTTGAAAATAATTGTTGTAACTTTTCATCGCGATATATCTTTCCTTTTTATAGAAATTAACTTGGCGCTAAACTTTTTATTCAAATATTTAGCAACATGAAAAATTGTTTGTCAATCCTTAACTACAAATTTTTTGCAATGTTTTTGATAAAAAGTAGTAATTTTTTAAAGTTTTCAGTAAAAAACTTTTAAAAATCTATATTCCATATTTATTAATACAGAATATAAATGTTTTTTGTAATATAGATTTTTTAAGAATTTTTTACTGAATTTATAATAAAAAACATTTGCAAAAAAATTTGTAATTAAGAATTGACATTTTTTTTAATATCTCAAAAAATGTCTTAATATTTTTGTTATCATGATAACAAAAATATCAAGACATTTTTTCGAGATATTAAAAAAATGTCTTTGCTTTTCTTATTAGTTAAAGATATATAAATTTATATTTTCTTATTAGTTAAAGGTAAAGGTATACCTTTTCCTTTAAGTTATGCGGGGGAGGGGGTTGGCATAGAAAAATAAATTACCTGTTACTCGCAATATTTGAATGAAGAAAATTTGTTAAATTTCTTCTGCGTGCGATTCAATTTTTTTTTTTCATAAATCAAGTTATATTATAAGGTAAAGAAATCACGAGTAGACTACAACATCCGCTGATGACACTAATATTACGTTGAATATATTTATATAACGGAGGTTTCATTATGCACGCGCACATTACAGGTTCCGTTAAATAAATACTAAGGCACGTTTTAGTTTAATGACAGTCTCCATTTTTTACTAATGAATATGTATTTTTCTTTATAAAACAAAACAAACTAGTATATAAAAACCTTGTATATTTCTATTATCTCTAAATTGTTTAAAGTTCGAATATAGATTGTATTTTGAAGGACAAAAGATTTATTTTAAAAACTTTTAAATCTTGGGACTTTGCCGATGCGATGATCACAGAAAAAGAGAAGACTTACGTTATTAAAATCAAATGTAAGCTATGTGATCTTCATCAAAATAAAATATTATCCAAAAACAATGGTGCCATAAGGGCAACTGCCCAACGGTTTATAAATAACACAAGTCATGTTAAAATATTTTAACATGTTACTATATTTTAATTAAGTTGATATATAATTAAAAATAAAAATATAGTTCAATAAATAAATTAAATTTGTTCTTAACAAAGATTACCTCATATTTATTCTTTTTTTATTTTATTAAGTTAAACTCCTTACAAAGGAAAAAAAAAAGAGTTTTGTAATTAAACGTAGAATGAAAATACTTTTGAGTTTGTTTATAAGTTAAGGAACTTAATTTTTAATAAACAAATTTTTACGAACGTTTATTATAAACAGATACGATTCAAATTATTAAATATACTTAAATTATTTCAGTTGAGTATTTTTTTAAGTTTAAAGTTTTGCGTAGAAGTATTTGTTTTTTTGTTTTAAGAATAATTAACAAAAGAGTTTGCATAATTAAGACTTTTATATTTAATTTAATCTTTTTTTTTAATTTCCTAAAATTTAATTTAATTTTCCTAAGATTTAATCGTTAAAAACGATTTTTCTCTATAGCTCTGTTTCTTTGTGATTTGTTTAAAAAGTAAAATATTTTTACAATAACATAAAAAATTTATGAATTAAATTCCTGGCGAACGCGTTCTAAACTATGTATCAAAAATATGGTCAAAGCAGACAAAAATTTTTTTTTATTTTTATAAAACGCAAGTTGAAACGCTAAACAAGATAAATTTAAAAAATATTTAAAAACCTAAATTTTTCTTTGCTAGTCAAAACAAAATCGTTGTTTAAATAATTAACATGGGTTTGTGTTTATCAATGTTAATATTTTTTGTTTACTCTAGAAATTTTTAAAAATAAAAAAAATCATTATTATTTATTCGATAACGATTTATAAACAATAATTATTCAAAAACAAATTTCAGAAATAATTAAAATGTTTATATATATATATATATATATATATATATATATATATATATATATATATATATATATATATATATATATATATATATATATATATATATTTACTAAATAATATTGAACTAAAATTAATAATAAAATAATAATTGCAAATATTTCAAACTTTACATAATAAAATTACATTTAAAACGTTTATAGTTGTTTGAGTTAATTGTTAAATTGAACTAGTTTGCGGTTATTTATTTATTGCGGTAGTTAAACACTTAACGCCTATAAAAAAAAAATAAAGATAATTTTATAACGTCAAAATCGCGTTAAGCTAATGCATTAAGCACTTTTTTATTTAAAACAAGGCCTGTACATGGTATTGTATCCTTTTATCAACCAACTCTAAAATAACAAAACTGTTATCTGGATTTATTATAAAATTTCTTTCCTGATTCTTATCTTGAATTTATCTTCATTTGACCTTAAAACTAGTAAAATATTTATTTCAACTCTATCGGTTGGTTATTAATTTCAACTAATCGGGTAACACAATGTGCTGGATAACAAATACACATTGCATCGGGTAACATAATGTGCTACACATTGCATTTAAACAAAACTTTATAACACCTTAAGTTACACATTTTATTCCTAACCACACTTCAAACATTAAAAAAAGTCTTTAACAAACTATCAAATAAATACTTTTAACTTCAAATGAAGTTATTTTAAAACCTCCCTAAACCACTAATTTTAATAAGTTAATAAAATTGAGTTACACCTTACACCTTTATTCTTTAAAGTTGAGTAAAATAATAAATTGAGGAAAATTATAAAGAAAATAGATTTATAAGGTTTTATGAAGGTAAAAATAAAAAGTAATACTTTAGTCCTATAAATATCATTGACTTATCAAAATTATTAAATTTATTACCATTAACCAGTCAAAGTTATTAAATTAGCATTGACCAATCAAAACAATTAAAGTAATTATCATTAACCAACAAAATTATTAAATTATCATCATTAACCCATCAAAATTATTAACTTATTATCATTGACCAACCAAAATTATTAAATTAATTATCATTAACCAATCAAAATTATTAAATTAAATAACATTGACCGATTATAGTTTATCAAAAAGTTTTTTAACTCATATGGATTATCTTTGTCCACAGATTTCCAGTAACATAAATAATAGATTAAACATAAACAAGCTTACTTCAGCGTCCAAAGGAAAATATATAGTTCTTGTAGGCTGCATGGTAAAATTTGATCGAGGTTGAGTTTCTCCATGAAACCAGCCAGAAACTGTCAATCTTGATTTTGAATTTGAAAGAACTTCTGAAACCTATAAATATTTGTGCATATTTATATATCAGTGCCTATACTAGGAAAAAAATTTGGATGGGGTACCCCCTTGTTTTGGCAAACTTTAGCAGAAAATCTGCGTTTTTTTTCATGAAAAAAACATTATTTGCTGTAAAAACGGTAAAAAAATGTAAAAAAAAATGTAAAAAAAAAAAGGTCCTCGAATTTCATTTTGGGCGGCGCCCAAATACAGTTGCTGCTATAGCCCCTGTGTATACATATATATAATTCTGATTCACTCCCAACAAGGCTGCAAGCAACCATTATTAAATTGAGAGATAATAAAAAAAAAAGAATAGAGTTGACAGAAGACTTAAATATAATATATATATTATATTCAGGGTAACCCAAACAAAGTTACGATTTAATTGTCCTATAGCCAAACATTTCTTTTTCAGGCATGCTTTTTATTGTGTCTTAACAAATAAGCATTGCAGTTAAAAAAAATTTTATTAAAAAATTATTTATTTAAATAAAAATATAAATTTTAAGCTAAAAATGCCTCAATATACAACAGAACGTATTTTTTTTTTAATTTGATAGACTGCCTGCCTCCCCAAACCAAACCCTCAGTCAATGTAACAGCACTCTTCACATGTTTTACGTATTTTTCAGTAAGTGTAGCAACACTCTTTGCATGTTCTACTTATTTATCAGTCGATGTAGCAGCACTCCTTGCATGTTCTACCTTATTATTCAGTCAAAGTAGTAACACTCCTCACCTATTCTACCTACTTGTAACAGCTAATTGAACAGTTAAAGTATATTACACCAAGTTATAATATTTTACTGACTTTATTTGATTGTTTACTTTCTCAATACGGTTTCAAATAAGGAGACATTAAAAATTTTTTACAATCTCAATAAGTCTACAACTAGAGAAAAATGTTACATATTATTCATCAGGGTTAGGGTATAATAAAGTACATTTACTTCATTACAATACTTTGTTACTTTTTGCAGTACTTCTACTTTTAACAAAAACATTTACAACACAGTACTTTTGATACTTTTGAGGTTTTATTTTTTACTACAAGTTTTTTTCAGAAAAAAAGTACTAAAGTACTAGAACTTATATTTAATTTATGTCAAATTATTGGTTTAAATGAATTGTATAATACAAAATATTATGAAACCAAAACCAGTACTGCTTAACAGTAGATTTAAGTCATGCATCAAGACGCAAAGCTCCATATTGAACACACAAGATACACAACTTAAACACAACACAATGAGGGAGCTGATTGCCTGTTTAGAAAACTATTCAATCAGAATTTGTTTATGACAAAGTACTGTTATGCTATTGGTTGACACTTAGCATAAAAAAAATGACAACCTCCAGTAGTGCTGTTGAAGATGATAAATCTGTATCTTCTTAGCCACATTTGAATGCAATGTAACATGTTGATGCGTTTATAAGGGATTTTTGGTAGATTTAGTATCATTTAATGGTATTTTTATAAGGTGTATTAAGGACATTGTTAACATTATTAAAAATTTGATTTTTTAGAAAATTTGTCTGGCTAAAAAAAATTTAAAGATTGATTGCAACTAGACTGGTTGCAACTGAACGCAACCAGTCTGAACCCATTTATAATCTTGTGTATGTGAGAATGACTCAACTGCAGAATATCTGTTAGATCTAATCATAACTCTACTTTTGAAACCTTCATAATGTTGCAAAGAAAACTATGGTCCAGCAAACAGTCAAAATTCTAAAGATGCATCTCAGGAAACCTGTTTTTGATTATGTATTAACTAACCTACAGCCATTCAGAACTACTGAGAAGATTGGTTTTAGAAAACTGATAACTGCTTTGGCACCAAACCAAACATTCATTTATCAAAAAACAATTTTAATAGTTTACTTTGTAAAGCTTGCCCATTGATGTTAAATTAACTCAAATTTAGCCGATTGAGAAAAATTTTGCAACAAAAAACAATTAATTTACTGAAACAAAAATAGAAAAAATCTTTTATAAAACTTTTAGAACTATGTTTTAAATATTATTCGTATTAAACAGATGTTATCCAGGTAATACATGATAAAAATACTTATTGTTATAAGCCAAAACTAAAAAAAAAGAAAAAAGAAATGAGGTAAATAAAAGCTTGCTAGTATTTATATTTAGCTATTTATTTATTTATTTTATTAGAAATATCATTTATTATAGTTTTATCTATTTAGCTATAACTAACACATGTCAAATTGAATCCTTTGACAGTAACACAATTTGACTTAATAGGTTCTGGTAAAAATAATTTCTCAATAACTTAGTAAGATCAAAATCTCAATAACTTAATAAGATCAAAGTTACTAGAGTAGAGACCACATAGAGATATCATATAGATAGAGATAACATAACCAACATAGAGATATACCAAGAGTAATCTAGGAATACTAGAGGTTTAATTTACCAAAAGTAAGATAGAGACAGAGGTATTATGTATGAAGTATTTTAGGGTTACTAGAGGAACTAAATAGATTAAAAAGGTACTAATGAGGTAGTTTATGGGTAGGGGTAAACACTTGCAATGACTTGTTATAAAATGGATTTTTATTTATTCATTAACAGTAAAAATAAGGTCAAAATAATAAGTGATGGCATAAAATCTTAAAATTGGAAAAAATTCTGAAGTAAATTTTTTTCTGACTTTTACTAGTGTATAACTAAAAAAAATTAAAATTGAAAAAATTTTAATTACCTGATGAAATGACTTTTCTGTTACTTCAAAAAAAACAAGACTATTAAATGAAGGCACCAATATTCTTTTTATATCCGAAGGTTCACCATTACCTAAAATGACATTCAGACACTAAAAAATCAAATTCTTATTCCTTACAAAATTAAAAAAAAAAGATAATGTGAGAATAAAACTTACTGTTGGTTTCAAACAAGTCTAACGAACCTAAATGTGAAGCCATTTAAAACATATTAAAAAATATTTAAAAAGAAAGTGTAAATAACGAGTATAAAACACTAAAAAAACTTTTATTAATAAAATAATAAATCAAACCTCCATCATTTGCATTCCAATCTTGAGGAACAAGATAATAAACAAATGCAATGCGTCTACCTTCTAGTTCATCATCATGACATAGAAGAACATCTTAAAGAATAATATATTTTTATTCAAAAACATCTTTCCAAACAAAATATTATTTAAAATTTCATGAAACTTTTTTTTTCAAATAACAACACTGATGATATTGTATGATTTGCACCCATTATATTTATTAATTAACAATATTGTATTGATGTAAAAAAGGGTCATATAAAAAATAAAAAAACTAACAGCATGAAATTTTTTGAAGTTTAGTACTAGTGTTGTTATGACAACTAAATAATTCGCTTGTTTGCTAAATTGACTTTATAAATATATTTTCGAAAGTCGATTAAAATTAACTAATACATTTTCTCTCGATTTTCTTTTGATTTTTCTTTCAATTTTTCAAATCAACTAAGTTAACTAAAAAACGATTTATTCAAAGTATGGAAATAAATTATTTTTTCGAAATAAATAGTAATAAAAATAATAAAGTAGTTTTTATTTGCTTTCTATTTTTAAATATAATGTCATTTATGTAATAATGGTGAGGGAAGGGCTGCTCGGACCACGAGACAATCTATTCCCAGACCCCAATGATTTAGATACTTGTTATATATCAAAAAGTCATTACAATCATATTTACAGCATTGTACAGATGACATTCAGATTTTGAAGCTTCATAATTTTTATTTGCCCCAGAGCTTCAAGCCAGCTTGGAGAGCTTTATGAAAATTATAAGCATCTAGTAAACAAAAGAAAATATATATTAATGAAATATACAATCAAAAGTTTAATTAGGTATAAATAATACTAACATGCTTTGAATAAGATAAAACTTCAAGAGAATAAACAAAAAACTAGGTAAAAGTACATACTATTGTAGATATAAAAGTTAATTTGAATAAAAAGATATAAGAATTTTAGGATTTTTACTCAATTAAATTGACTTTTAGTCGATTAGTAGGAAGTCAATTAAATCAACAACTCGATTTTTCAAAGTTAACTAATTTTGACTAGTCAACTTTTAGTCAATTTAGTCAAAGTCAATAACAACATAAATCCATAACGGCCTTGGGGAGACTATTGAACAAAAAAAAAAAAGGATTTTAAGTCTATAACTGTGAAGAAACAGACTAAGCTCTTTTTTTATGCTTTGGTTTACTATTTCTATAGCAAGTAAATAGTACTTTTAAATTTTAAAAAATTATAAAATTTTTTAAATTATAATCAAACACAATGAAATTTAAATTTTTTTAAACCAAAAAAGTTAATTTGTTAAATCAGGTTGGCAAAGAAAACGTTTATAGAGCTTTATCATTGGTTGGTTATGCAGATAAAGTTGAAGCTGCAATGAAGTTTGTGTTTGGTTCCTTATTTGTAGCAAAAACTTTAGATCAAGCTAAGAAGGTAAATAATTTCAAAAACTTCATATTATCATTTAGTCGAAGTCAATACAACCCATGTAACAATCCAGTTGTTTCAAATAATTTTACATTATGTGAAATTTAGGTTACATCAATTATGGCATAGGGATAGATGTGATAGACATCAACTATGACGTAGGGATAGATGTGAGAAATCAGCTATAGCATAGAGATAGGTGTGATAGACATCAACTATGACATAGGGATAGATGTGGCAAGACGCTAATGCATCAAGACCATTTCCTAAACCAAAATTATAGTTGTTTTTATTAAATTGTTTGCAATAATTAAACTAAGAACCAGAGACTCATATTACTTCATTATCTGCATTATTTTAATATGTTTTAATTATTTTTTATAAATTCTAACTTTGAACCTAACCCCTATTAAATAATAAGCCATATTAAACTTTTGAATTATCTTTTTTTTGCCCTAAGAGGATTGCTAAATTATGCTGTCATTATAATGACAATACTTATAATTAAAACTAAATAAAAAATTGAATATTAAATGAAAAATATTTAAAACTGATTCATAACACCACCCTACCACTAACACCACCCTTCTAGCTATACTACTTATACCATCCTGCTGAATACACCACCACCTTGCTAAATATGCTCCAACTTCACCTTAGTATACTAGGCGTTAGTTCTTATTCTATAATTATAGAAATTGAAGTCCAATTTAATTAGCTTAACAACAAAGTCTACCTGAATTTTCATAAATAGCACATGACATATCAACAGTATTGTTTAAACTAATTTTTGTCACATCTTTTAACCAGGTTCTAAACAAACCAAACAACTGTTCTCTAAAAGTAAGAAAAATAATCAAAAATAATTAAACAAAACAATTAAGAATATAATTTCTAAATAATTTTCTCCATATGATGTTTAAACAGGTAAACTTATATTTAAAAAAAGAAAATGACAAGTCATACTTATTACTTTTATTATTATTATTTATTATTATTATTATTATTATTATTATTAATAAATTTTTAATAATATTTTTTAATACTTTTTATTTTGCTGAAATGAATATTAAATGAAATTAATTGGAAAATACAGTTTTGAATCAATTCATAATTTTTAATTTCAAGACAACTTCAAAATTTAAAAATTAATTTAATTTACAAAATAAAAAAATTAAGTGTTTCGCTTAATTTTTTAATTTTGTAAGAAAAAAAAACCCCCAAAAAAAACAAAAACAAAATAAAACTGTACCACCATCTTTTCATTATAGCTTTTGACTAATACTATTAAACCCAAGGTAAAATAAAACCAATAAAATAAGAATTATTCTTAAGATAATTGTATTTAAAATCTAAATCTATTATTTAGCATTTTTAACAGTATTTAAAGAGAGGGATCCACAGGTTCAATTAATATTACAAAACAAGGTTGAATAATAAATTATATTATATAAATATGCATATATATATATATATATATATATATATATATATATATATATATATATATATATATATATATATATATATATATATAAATGTAGTAGTAGTAGTAGTAGCAGCAGCAATTTGTTTGATTACAGAGCTCATCTTCTCTGCACCTTTCCAAAATTAGATAATTAGTTAAATAACCCACAGAAAATAACTATTAAATGGTTATTATAATAACTTATAAAATAAACACATATTTAAAGCAAAAACGTCATAATACGTTTTTACTTAATATAAATGATAAATTATAACAACTTGAAAAAAATTACGAACTTTATTCTAACGAAATGCTCCGACACATCTAATAAATGTCACTTGATACAATTGTAAAATAAGTTAGATGATCATGCAAATTTAGCACCAAACAAAAAAAAAATGATGAACTCTGTTTATGATACAGAGGTACTAAAAACATACTCTCTAAGTCATAATAGAATTTTATTTTTTAATAATTTAGTAGGATACATGTTTAAACGTTATAATACCACTGATAAAGGCGCCACTCAAAAAAACAAAGACAAGATTTGTTATTTAAAAACTTAAGAGAAGAGTACAACTTTAGTTAAGGTTTTAAATAGAACTTGGAATTTCAGAAAATATTGTGTAGAATCTTGTTAAAAATTTATAGGATTTGAACAATTAATCAACCAAATGAATTTGTAACATTTTTTTACTTGAGACCAGTCTGCAATGACATCCTTGATAATTGAAATATCTATAATTGATTTGAAATTTTTAAATTCAGCTTATTAACATTCTTAATTGGGAAGCATTTATGAAATCTTTTATGAAAATTTTATGTGTATAAGGGTGTATAGGTGTAATGTGTAAGTCTGTGCTGTTTATGTCGTTCAGTAGAGTCTTGTATTGTTAGTAACCAGCGTAAAAGATTTGTCTCTGAACTAAACCAAGCCAACCCAGCCATAGTCCAGAAAACCATGATGGATTAAACACCTATGCATGGATTTATAACTGACTTATGACTAAATAGCTAGGCCAGACATCTTCCACAAACAAACATTCTCTTTCGAGGTGACAATAATTGCCATTAGAAAACATTAGAACACTAGCAAAAAAATGCATTTTTTGTGTTTTTATATGTTTATTTTAATCACATAGCATGAGTGAGTTCAAAAACAAAAAAGAACAAGAAAGAGTTAATTACTACTTTTTAAACTTAATTAATCTGTAATCGCTAGATTATGATATATGAATAAAAATACAAAAAATACATTTTTTCGCTAGTGTTCTATCCATTTTGGCCAAGACTGTATATATATATGTATATATATATATATATATATATATATATATATATATATATATATATATATATGTATATATATATATATGTATATATATATATATATATGTATATATATATATATATATATATATATATATATATATATATATATATATATATATATATATATATATATATATATATATATATATATATATATATATATATATATATATATATATAATAACCAGAGTCCCAACAATTTTTACCACGGATGGGACTTCGGGTAAAACAGAGACTCCTAGACTTTAGACTCCAACTTTGCATCCTTGCATATACAGTATGAAGTTGTTAGACAAAATACTTATTTATTTTTCTTTTTTAATAAACAAGCTGTAATTGGCTTACCTTGCAGGGTGCTTTCTATTATAGCTGTTTTTTTAAGTAGCTTTTATAGCTTAAGTTATAAAAGCCTACTTTTTAAAAGCCCACCTTTAAAAAATGTTAACTATTGGGCAACCCAAAACAACTGCAAGAATAGCACATCCCATGAAGCATTTCTTTTGTGTTTACAAATTAGATTACTGCCAATAATTAACAAATATCAAAACTTGTTTTTTCATCAATAATAATTGCATAATTTGTTGACATGTTAATTACTGCCAATAATTAATAAGTATCAAAATTTGTTTTTTCATTTGAAAAAAAAATTTACAAGGTTGATATCATTATTATTGTTTATTATTATTACAAATCAAAAGAAAGAAATACCTTAATATTGCTATATTTTTAGATTTGGCATTGTTTAAATCTCTGCTCTAAATAAAAAATAAAAAATAAAAAACCTGTAATAAGCTGAAATATCAATAGCAAATATATTTAAACAAACATTAAAAATCTCACTTGCTTGAATTGATATAAATCATTTGATTTTGGAATGAAATCCAACTGAAGAAGTTCATTTTTTAATTCGTTTACATAGTCCACATTTTTAAGGAAGTTTTTAATTGTGCAGCATGGAAAGGGATCAGTAAAAAAGTGCATGTCTATTAATAATAAAAACAAAACAAAAACAAAAAAATAGTCATAATAAATCAATGAAAAATGAAAACTAATGAATCTGATGAAATTTAGCTGTGAGGTATAAAAAAAAAAACAAAATTGCATATTACCTTCATGTATAAATTCACTCGAAGTGCTAAAAATTTCAAATAATTCTTGTATATGAAAAAATACAAAAACAAAGTTTAAATAATTTAAATAAAAACATAAAATATCTATTTTTATAATATAATAAAAATAGTAGTTTACATCATAATCATTTTAATTTTTTTTATTACTATTAAAAATGAAGTTCACAAAAAAGTTCCTTCAAACATGTCTACATTCTTTTGATATTATACAAATATTAGTATAAAACATACATAGTATAAAATATTAGTATAAAACATACAACTTTCTATAAAAAATGCTATAAATTTTTTTTTCTTTATAAATATTTATAGAAACAAAAATTTAAATATAAAAAGAGATCTTTTAAATCAATTTCTACAGATATTATTTAAGTTTCTATAGAAATTTAAATTCTTTTAAACACCCTATTATTCTTTTTTCCCTATTATTCTAATGTCACATTGTGACAGAATAACAATGAGAGAATTTAACTTTTGATTTTTAATGATTTAATTATATTTTATAGCTCTTTTTGTTTACATTGATCAAATGTTTTTTATGTTATTTATTTTTATAATTAATCTTATATTATTAATTTTATTAATTTTCAAAATTGCTTCTTTACAAACTATTTGTTAATTACAACTTTATTAAATATAGTTGAAACTAACAATAAAAAAAAGTAAATAATAATAATAAGATTAATATATTTAAATTATATAATTTTGAACATAAAAACAATATAATAAATAAAAAACAGAAAACTAAAACTTTTAAAATGAAAATTGGGAGATAGAACCTTATAATTCTTATTTATCAATATTTTGTTTTATACAAAGTTATATTACTTAATAAATAATATGCGTTCTAACCAATCAATTTAACAAATTTGATATTTTAATCTTTAAATTTAACGAATTTAAATTTTTACTTTGAATTTTAAAAATTTAAGAGATTATAATAAATTTAAATTCTCTAAACATTACAAAAAGGAGATAGAACTGTATTATTCTAACATCACAACATGTATATGTTGTGATGTTAGATTAATACAGTTCTATCCATTTTGTAATGTTCAGAGAATTTAAATTTATTATAATCTCTTAAATTTATAATAATACAGTTATATGTTATACATATAACTGTATTATTATAAATTTATTTTTTTATTGTTAGTTTCACTCCACAATAGTACATGTCACAGATGGTTTTAAGTATTGCTCACAACGATTGGTTTTTACACATTGTTTTATTCGTAAATTTGTCTTATCAAGGTATTTTAAGATTAAGTAAAAGCTTTGACTAAAAAAAGCAATTCGAAAAATTTTGTACTTAGTATCAAACTCATACCATTTTAAAAAGTTAATACCCATTCAACAAAGTTAGCTCTATACAAAATTATATGAAGTCTCAATAATCCAAGATGGCATAACATAACTGCTGCAATTAATATTTAAAATTATTTTAATATACAAAATATTTAACATAATTATGCATAACATAATTGCTTCTGTTAATATAAAAAATATTTAATAATATTAAGATGATTACAAGCAGTATAAAACTAGAAATAAAAAAAAAACTAAAGTAAAAAGTAAACAAGCAAACATAAACCTGAAAGCTTCAGCAACTTTTTGTTTAATTTCCTCTGAAGTTAAAACTAAGTTCAGATCGTTTTTAATTTTAATTTTTTTAACCTTCGCATCCTGCATACCAGATGGCTTTGACATAACATCATGCTGCACACCAGATAGTTTTGATATATTATTGTCGTGATAAGAAGCAGAACGCTTAGGCATTGTTTTTTATACACTTTGATTAAATTTCAAAAATATTATTCTTTAAAAAATTCTTCAAAATTTTTTTATCTTTAACTTAATCAAAATTCCCCACCGTACATTTAATAACAGTGTAATTTTTATACTATTTTTTACATATATTTTTATAACCATAGTTTTTTATGTGTCTCATGAAAAAAATTTTATTCATATTTTTTGTATTAATTATTATTATTCATATTTTTTGAATTAATTTGTATCAACAACTATTTTAATTACAGCAACAACACATAAAAAAACAACTTCGAAACAATTGAAAAAATAGAACTATTGTATTTGGATTTCATTTCTACAAAGAGTTTATTACAACTTTTTCTATTAAAACATTGTTTTGTATGAATCACTGTTTTTCATATAAAAATGATAAATGTGTATTTCTGCTGTTGAAGCGGAGTTGAAACTCCAATTTATTTTCTACATTGAGATTTAGTTTCTCAAGATTAGTGATAATTATAGACCTGTTCACACAATCACAAAGCCCGTTTTAACTTTGCTTGAATTCCTTTAAATCTTGGTAGTAAAACCTTCACCTCAGGATCAGACAAGCTCATTGACTCTAATTCAACTAAATAAGATGTGGTGGCTTCAAAGAGACTTCTTGAGAATGCAATTCTAAAACATAGTTAAAAGTTAATGGTTGAGACATCACAATATTTTTTTTTTTTTTTATTTTAATTCACCTCCTCAAGGCCGAGAAGGCCACTACAGACGAGGAGGCTACTTATTTGTGGTTATAACCCTCTCTCAACTCTATAACTCCGAAACACGAACCTTGACAAACAAGGCCGCTGCGCGGAGAAACGAGTTGAGCGCAGTACTACCAGGGACGTGGTGGGGATCGAACTCAGAACCACTCGTTTATGAAGCGAGCGCTTTACCACTACACCACTACCGCATATGCTTAACATAAAAAACAAGAGACAATACCTATCAGCACTGATAGTTGGAGGATTCTCTAAGAAGTATATCAAAAGCAACGATAAAACATGCAATATGTGCAATGGTTTGCCTAATGCTCTCCATGTATTTTCCTATATATAAAAAAAGCATATAAAAAATAGAACAAATTAAATTTAGTTAATCAGTATTTTCACATTTTTAAGAACTATTTTTTATGATTTCATTACTAAAATTCCTACTAAAACAATACATTTAGAACAAAAATAAAGACTTTTGAAATTTTGTTAATTAAAAAAAAAATTCTAAAAGTACAATTTTTCCAATAAGAGTTTAAAAGAGTTAGCTTTTATACAAAAAAATGTACTTTTATACCTAATATTTTTTCAATGCCAACATAATAATTATTATCAATAAATATTCCAATAACATAAAAATTTTTAAAATGCTTTAACTTGATATTTTTTTTACTTTTATTTTTGCATTATTAGATAGTTTAGGCGATATAAATGTATTTTGAAACACTTTAATAAAAATCATAAACTTAACAAAACACATGTTTAAATTAGTTGAATTTGGATTTAGCATTTATTTACATAAGTGTTACAAGAGTGCACTGTTTTGTAAATTGCTCATTAATCACGCAATTATAGGGTCTTATGTTTATGTTAATTGTTCATAAATCATCCAATGTTTATGTGAAGATTATATAAAGTAAACAATGCAAATACTTAACTCTGGCATATTATATTTAAAAAAATTTAGTTATGCTATTCTTTTGTTCAAGTAAATTTTAATAGTTGTTCTCAAATAGTTTAATAATTTTTGATACTTTGAACGCAAATAGCAAGAAAACCAGAATTGCCTATTGAAAAACGATATGCAAAATTTACATTGTGGCAAAAAAAATATTCTGTGTCAAATAACTAAAAAATTCAAAATTTTGACTTCAACTATTTAGAATATTATAAAAAAGAAATAAAAAGCTAGAAGTGTGGTCAATCGAAAACGAAGACAGAAGAATTACAGTCACTAGTAAAAGAAATAGATTATTAGCTGCTCCAGAAATAATACATGCATTGAATAGTTCTTGAAGAGCTCTGGTGTCTGTGACAACAGTGAAGAGGAGATTGATGGACTTGGTGGCAAAATAGCTGCAAGGAAACCATTCCTTTGGCTCCAAAATTAAAAAAGAGACTAGATTGGGCAAAACTGCACAAAAAAAAAGACTTTTAATTGCTGAAAACATTTTCTTTGACAGAAGAGTCAAAGTTTCAAATTTTCCAAGACAATATAGTTTGTCCAAAGAAAAGTTGATGAAAGGATGAAAAAAACAGTCTGATGGTGACATGGTGGTGGTCGTATTATGGTTTAGGGCTGTTTTGGTGATAATACCACAGATGAAATTGTAAAAAATGAAATTGTAAAAATAGAGGGAATAATCATAAAATAAGTGCATTAAAACATTTTAAAAACTCATGCCATACCTTTCGTAAAGCTGTTATTGCCTCGAAGAGAGGTTACAATGAGAATAAACTATAAATTAATTTAATGGAATTTTTACATTTTTTTTTTAATGCAAACTTAATAAATAGTAAAATACCATATATTTCAGGTAGTTTTTATTTAAAGTTTCTCTCCTCACAAGTAAAACTTTGATAACTTTGAAAAGTATGACCATTCAAACAATTATGGACGGTAGTGTATTTTATTTTTTAGATTTTAGTAATCTAAAGATCATGTAGGCTATATTTCTCAGACAATGCCTTTTAAATCTTAAGTTAAAAACTCTAAAAACTGAGAAAAATCTAATGTACCTTTGCATTAAATATTTTGTTATATTCATTAAATAATGCCATTGGGTCAATACCCATTTCCAATGCAGTCATGAATACCCATTGGTGCTGCCAAATCATTTCACAGGATTTTCTTTCCAGCATAGAAATAAGGAAATCTAATTTTAAAAATTTTTTTAAAAATTATAAATTACCTGACTTGATTAAAAAAAAAAAAAACAATATACAGCAATTAAAAATGTACAATTAAATTAACTAAATATACTTAAAGCTAAAAAAAGAAAAAAGAAACCATACAAGTAGGAAAATATTGTTCTTGCTTAACATAAGATTTTCCGACAAGAACAAGTTGTTGTGAAATGGCTTCCATTTTATCAAGAGAGGAGAGAGTGTAGGTGTTTTCAAATGCTAAGAAACAAAAATTAGATTTAAAATAATCCAAGAAATTTAACTTATAAACAAGTAATAATAATTAACTGCATTAAAGTAAATTTATTCTTATTTATCAACATTTATTTAAATTTATAACAGTTTATTAAAATTTTTTTAAATTTGTTATTAATATTTATTAATATTTATTATTGTTTATTAATACTTATTTAAATTTATTATTGCTTATCAATATTTAATTAAATTTATTGATTGTTAACATTCATTTAAAGTTATTATTGCATAATAATATTAATTTAAATTTATTATCATTTAGTAACATTTGCTTAAATCTATTATTATTTATTTAAATGTGTTATTATTTATTAATATTTATTTTTCACTATATAAACTTGCAACTATGGCTATAAGGTTTAGAAATTGGATTTGTATACGGATGAATGCATGTCAACCTGTCATATAAATATATTATGTATGTATGTCAACCTGTCATACAAATACATTATGTATGTATTTTCTAATCTTTAACCATAAATTATTATTTCTTCTTTTAGATAATTGTCTAGTTTGTTTTTAAAATTGCTCAAGGATGATGGATTTACAACGCCATCTGGAAGAGAATTTTATTTGTTGACTAATTGTAAGGTAATAAAAATAATTTATAATTGTTTTTGGAAAGATCGTTTGACAGTTGTAGCAGTTATTTAGCCATTTATAGACGTTTATTAAATCCATGCGCATTAGTCTGTGAATTTATGGCTGTCAAAACAACTTTTAGTCTTTGGTGATATGAAAGGCTTATAATTATGTATTCTGAGGTCAGTTTCTGAGTTAGTAGATTTGAAATGAATTCTCGTTTTTTTTTCACTGGAACGTACAAAGTATAAACATGATATTTGTTTTTTGTAGCCTAGGTGTATAACTGAACATTTTTCTTTAACTCAGTATGCTAAATTAATGAAAAATGTTGTTTTTTTTCACTATTTAGTTGCCCAGTCAACCAAGATATCAATATCATTTTGAAGTACGGTGTGTGAATGCATATTAGTAAAAGGGTAAATTTTGAAGTTTTGCATTTGAAGTAATTATATTAGGAATATAATTAACGCATATAATGAATAATAGAGCTGAAAGAACAGAACCTTGGGTAACTCCACTTTTTACTGGTACCCAATCAAAGTTATTACCATTTATCATTACTCTTTGTCTTATTTTTGTGAGAAAGTTTCTTATCCATTTGAGACAATTGGACCATTAATTCCATAGGCTTTTAGTTTCAAAAGAAGATGCTCATGTGATTCTTTGTTGAATATTATCGAAGGAGAGACCTTATTCTAAATTAAGTACATTGATTACAGTAAGAAGATTTGTTTCACTAGAGTACCCTGGATAAACACAGTGTTGACTAGGACTTTGCAGATTATTTTTTAACAGATGAGTAAAAAAAATTTTTATTAACTAACCCATTAGTTTAATACACACTATGGTGCATGTTAAACTAACCGGTCTATAGTTTTATAACTAATTTCTTGCCTCTATTTTTAAAAATTGGTATAATATTTGCATCCTTCCAGATTTGTGGCAATGTACTAGTTTGAAGTACCTTGTATAATTAATAGAAAAATGTTTGGAGATTTGGTAATAGGTTTCTTTTAATATTCTGGTATGTATCTCATCTAGGCCAAGTGATTTAAATGTTTTTATAGAAAGAAAATGAGATTCAATGTTTTCAGGAGATAGATCAAGACCATCAGGGAGTTGACTGAGACAAAAAAAAGATCAAAACTTGTTAAAACTTGGAGCAATTAATGTATCTATATCATCAGTATCTATATCAGAGAAATTACTAGCAAAGTAATTGTTGAGGCATTGAGCCTTTTCGAGATAGGTGGTAGCAACTGTCTTATTATGCAATGTTTCAGGAATGAGATCTTTTATAAGTTTTTTTGATTTTATGTATGAAAGAAAAGCTTGATGTTTTTAGCAATTTCTATTTTAAAATTTATTATAGCATTTCTGCATGCTGCTTTGGTTCTTTTATGTGCTCAACAATAATCATAGTAGGTTTGACCATTATGCTTATGAATGTAGTCTTGATATTTAATTTTTGTTTCTTATTTCTTCTGCTACTTGGGCGGTTATCCATTGTGAACGCTTTTTAGTTTTTTTTGAGGATTTTGGAACATTTTTTAAAATAGTGTTTTGAGGTTTATGTAGAATATATCCCAAAGTTGTTCTGAGTTATAATTTTGATTTAATACTAAGGTTGATAGATCTTAATTATTGTTATTATAGTTTTTTTTAGAGAATCATTAGTAGTATAAGGTGGTTTACCAATTGATTTGATTATTAAGGCAAAAAATTAAAGGTGGCGATATTACCTTTCCTCATTGGTAATTGGAGATCTATAGAATGTAGTTATTAGTAGCTTAGAATTGATTCTGATACAATTGTACAGAAGCTAACCAATGACGATTTTAACGAAATATGTACAATTATTGCTACACCTTTCTACCATGTTTTGTTATAGTGATTTATTATTGTTATATAATTTTCTATAGTAATTTCTTGGTCATCACATTTTGATTGGCAATTTTTTGCCTTTCAAAATGTGATGACCAAAATTAGTCTTTCTGCAGGCGCCATATTTGGGTTGAGATGAATATTTTTATGATTATTGTTATTTTGTAACTTCCTTGACGCAAGTAAAACTTAATTGCATTCACTTGACGCAAGTAAAACTTAATTGCATTCACTTGACGCAAGTAAAACTTTATTGAATTCACAGTTTTCAGGAAGTAAAGCAATAATTGGAGGTGAATTTTTTGAGTTTTTTTATTTTATTTTAGTCGAATTAATAAAATCGTTTTTTTTTTTGTTTTTGCCAATATAATCAATATTTTGTTGGCCATCAATTTATCATCATTAATTATATCTGATTCATCAAAAAAAGCTTTTACTAGATTCAGGGATTCCAAAAATTAGCATATTTATTTATTGTTGGTTGTTTAGCTTCAAGGAATTCTGTTTTTTTTATTTTTTATAGTTTCTTGCTATTCTCGTGCTATATCAGATAATTCTGAATAGCTAAGTTTTCCTTGTTTCAACATATCATTAATTAGTGATCAATAAAACAAATAGACCATGAATCCCTGAAAATTTAAAACTTTTTATTTAGAGTTTTTTATTATAATTTTGAAAGCTCATAACTTTTTTGGATTGATAATTACAAGAGAAATAAAGTAGATACAACGAATAATTAAAAGAGAAATAAAGTGAATGAATACTCATTAATCTCAAACTCGACTTGTGCTTCCATTTAACAATAAGTAGATATTTTATTTCATAAAAATTCCTACCCTGATTTTCCTGTATCATACCTGTATTTTATCATTAATTTTTTTTAAACAATTCTTTTATAACAAGACTAAAATTATTTTTTTTTAATGAACACAGACAATTAATATTTAAGTTGAGAGTTAAAGAAAATAAAGAAAAGCAAGAAAATACTTGACAAAAGATTTAAAATACTGGAGAAAATTCTGAAGTACTGAAATTCAAAGACAAAAATTACATAAATTTTGAGCATAAATGTAAAATTACAGTAAAAGACGAAAGTGCTAAATGATGAGTCACACAAGATTGAGTTTTGGTTGATGGAGATGATAGTTTGCTTGAACATTGACCACGGCAATATTTGTAGAAAAGAGAAAGGGATGCAGCTTTACAACAATCGAACAGAGTCTTAAGCTTAGTTACTCAAGAAGGTCTGCAATGGATTTTTTTTACAATGGATTTTTGGACCTTGTCTAAAAGAAAAAGAAGACAAATAAAAAACTTATATGACATTAAAATAGTATCAGACACAAAGACAAACAAGAAACTTATATTGGTAAAAAATAGTGTCAGGAATAAGAAAATAATGAGCACAATAACGAGAGACAAACTTAGCAAGTGCTAAATTTGCAAATTATTAAATATATAGTTTTCATGAGATAATTCAATAATGTGTATAGTAGAAGACTCAGAGTATTAGAAAACCACTTTTATAAATTTTTATATTTAAAGTCTGCTTTAATAAATTAAAGAACATACTCAACATCCTAAATGATAAAACTAAGCAGCACCCTGTAAAAATATAAACACCTTGCTAATAAATTCAGAGTTATAACTAGGAGGTATAACAACTCTAATAAAAAAACTAAAATTTCATTAAATTGTGACATACCTTGTTCAACAATTTCTTGCCATATCTTATGAACAAGTTTATTGTCAGCATGTCCAGCACAATGAATTATTGCTAATTTACAAACTGGAAGTGATGACTCTTCTGCAAACTCATAGAGCTATATAATATATATATATATATATATATATATATATATATATATATATATATATATATATATATATATATATATATATATATATATATAAGAACAAAAAAATAAATATATGAACTAATTAAAACACTATTTATAAATGATGATAACAAAAATAATATAAACAACTATAATAATAATATAAATAAAAATATTAATAATAATGATAAAAACAACAACTATAACAATAAGATTAATCATATAAACAAAAGGAATATAATAAACAAAACAATAACTATAACAACTATGCTAAAAAGTTTTATGTTAAAACATAATTAGTAAACATTTATTTCAACAACAACAAAAAAAATAGTAATAAACAAAAAGAAATAATTTTAAATATACAGCTGATATATCAAACAGTTTAGAATTAAGCTGTAATATTGTGTCTTCAACTTTTTTTGAAGCAACTTTCTTTTGCGAAAGTTGGTCAAACAGTTGTAACTGAATTCGAGCAACCTAAATAAAGAAATAAAAAAATAAACAAAAAGGAAAACAACAAGACATGTGTTAAGATAAGAATATTTTTACAATATTTTATTAAAACTACTTCAACATACATTTACAATTCAACTTACAAAATTTTAAACTATTTTAATATTTTTATATCAATACCAGTAAATAATGCCATTCCGGCTATAATGAACAAAATAACAACTATATAGTAACTATTTGAACAATAGTGTTTATTAAATGTTTTTGTTATTAAACGATACTCTTGTATAAATAGAATTTTGCTGTTGTTGTTGAAAATATATAAAAAAAAAGGTGATATAGTCAATGTTTGCAGTGGTAGCGCACTTGCCTCAGAAACGTAAGATCCGTGGTTCAAATCCCACCTCTGGGCAAGTTTTGCAACATCGGTTGAGAAGGAGGCGTGAACTTCCTATAAAATGCTCTTCCGCGGTGCTCTTTGATAAGACCATAAGGACTTCTTGGGGCACCTTAATCAACTTAAAAAAATGTAAAACAGTTAAAATCTTAAAAAGTTTTAATACATATTTGGTATTATTTTTGATTGCCATTGGATCATAATTGAAAGCAAAGGGTAGTTTCTTTAACACGGACGGTAAAAAAAAAAAAAATCAAAAGTCAAATAACCAAATGGAAGATCAGTTAAATGTTCAAATGAATTACTTGCAAAGACAGGAAGAAAATAATTCTAAAGTTTTTGTTTATGCAAACTAAATATCAAACTATTCAGCAATTTGGAGATTATAAACCCACTTGTAAAAACGAGTTACGTAAATTGAGTAATCAATTAATAAAGACTCAAAACGAAGCTCTTGAGATAATGGTTGAATTATCAAAGAAATATGAGTTTCTGGAATAAATAAAAAATTGTAGGAAAACTCAATAAAGAAATTGAAAAAATAAATGATGAATTTGCAAAAATTATGGAACATGTAAAGAGGCAGTAACAAACTTAAAAGAAGAAAATAGAGCAGAAGAACTTGGCATCAACTCCAAAAAGAAGTTCCAGAGATGATGTTAATAAGATACAAACGATGAGTGTATGATTAAACAAAAATGTTGAATCTCTAAAAAAGTTTACCATTGAAGAAGCAGATTTTCAAATTGCAGCAATGGAAACTCTACATGGTTTAAAAAAAACCATTGTAAATGTAACTGAAAATAAAAAAAAAACCATTGTAAATGTAATTTGAAAATGTAACTAAAAAATTGAAAGCAATTAACTAAGCAAAGTTGTCAAAAAGTTGTAGACATCTAAGAAAAATCAAATTCCCAACTATTGGACCAAAACCGAAAATTAACATTCTAATCAGTGCGAATTATGCGAAGTTGCACTGTGCAATTAAGGAAGTAAATGGAAGATTTAATGAACCAGTGGCTCAACTTCGCCGTTTACAAAAAAAACACATCTAGTACAAAGGAAATAGAAGATGCAAACAACGCCATTAAAAAGTTATGAGAATTTGAAGATGACGAAGAAATGCAAATTAGAAAAACAATAACAAGCCCAGAAGCCTCTACTGCCCTTAATATATTAAACCTAATATAATAAACAGAAAACGGAAGATATGAGCTGAAACTACCATGGAAAGAAAATAGATAGCTGAAAGATAATTGTACCATGACGATAAACAGACTACAAAACATGGAGAAATGCCTAATTAAAACAAAAGTCTTGGTAAAGAGTACAATAATATTATTAGGCAGCATCAAGAGAAGAGATACTTAAAGAAATCAAAAAACGATATCTAGGAAATGGTTGGCACTTACCACATTTTTCAATTTTTTGTGCCAATAAATCAACTACAAAAGTCAAAATAGTGTTTAATGGATCTGCAAAATATAATGGTAAATGAATTAATGGTATTATTTATTAAAGTCCAAAACTTTATTAGACCTTGTAACACTTTTGCTAAGTTTTCGTAAATACCCAGTGGCTTTAGCTTGTGATATAGCAAAAATTTATTTAAAAATTGGAATAATGAATTTTATGGAGAAATCTGGATACAACTGCCCAGCCTGAAATATTTCAGTTTAATCAACTGGTATTTGAAATCAATTCAGCGCCTTTTATGACTCAAGCAAGAAAGTCTGAACAAAAATTTCCTTTGGCTTCTGAAGCTGTTTTTGAAGCAACTTACATGGACAAAACAATAACTTCTTTTAGTTAATGAAAAAGTAGGAATTCAATTATACAAAGAACTCAAGCTACTATATGGTTCAGCAGGAGTGTTTGCATGAAAGTGGCTTTCAAACTCAGTTGAAATTCTTGAGGTAACACCAGAAAATGATCGTGCAGAACATATAAATTTAGATTCTGGAGAATTGCCTGCAATGAAAACACTTGAAGTTGCCTGGAAAGCAAAACCTGATTTATTTAGTTTTCATTCTGTTGCAACCGAAGAAAATACGATATATACAAAACAAATTTTACTTAAAAAATTGGCAACGTTGTTTGAGCCAATGGGTTTTTTAGCACCATATATCATTCAAATCAAAATAATAATGCATGAATTGTGGATTAAAGGAATTGAGTGGAATGATGCGATTTTGGATAGGATTGCAAATAATGTTGATCAATGGTTTCAAGAACTAAAAGATCTCCCAAATATAAATATTCCCATATGTTTATAAAGAATTCAACAGTTACAAATAGGTCAATCCACGTTTTTACAGATGCGTCTTATAAAGCTTACGGTGCTGTTGCTTACCAACAATGTTTATATAACACAGGAGAGGTGAACTGTGTGAACATAATGTCAAAAGCCTGAGTAAGTCAATTGCAATCTATAAGTATACCAAGACTTGAGTTACTTGAAGCTTTTTATGGTTAACGACTTGGAGAGAGGATTGTCAAAGCATTAAAGCTGGAAACTAAGGACGTAACTAAATGGTGTGATAATGTTGAAGTCAAAAGTTTAAACCATTTGTTGCCAACCTTGTTGGATTCAATCAATCAATGACTGAACTAAAACAATGGAGATACATACTAACAAAAACTCATGTAGCTGATTTACTAACAAGAGGAACAACAGTTAACGAATTAGAAAGTAATAATGTATGGTGGCATGGACTAAGTTTCCTGAATTCTTTAGAAGAAAAATGGCCACAGAATCTCATTGAAGTCATACAAGAGGCTTCAATCGAAGTAAAGAAAAATCCAGTATTAATGAACTTTGCATCATCCACTGTAGTAACAACTTAGCTGCTTGATATTAATAAATTCTCACGCTGGAAAAAACTTGCCAGGAAAAACGGATGGGTGCATCGATTTATAGGAAATTTGAAACAGACTTTGAAAATTTGAAACAGACATTTGTAAAAAGGGTGATATAAAGGGTGATATAGCTGCTGAATATCATGAAAGTGAAAGAGAAATCATTGCTAAAGCTCAATAAGCAAGCTTTAAAGAAGAATATAGCAACATTAAAAAAAGACAACCAATATCAATATCAAGCAAAATCATTTCTTTCAAATCCGCAAAAAGGCGGATTATTGAGATCTTGTAGTCAATTGCAAAATGCCTATTAATTACCCTATGATGTTAAGCATCCAATCATTTTGCTTTGAGATCATACAATAAAAAAACTGATTGTTAAATATTACCATGACAAAGCCTATCATATGATGGGAAAAAATCAATTATTAACAAAACTATCAGAACAATAATGGGTCATACAAGGACAAGAAGAAATCCAAGATGCAGAAGCAAAATGCAGCAAATGTAAATTTGTTAAAAAACAAACAAAATAACAATTATATGGTCACTATTTGAACAATAGTGTTTATCAAATGTTTTTGTTATTGAACAAAATTCTTGTATAAATAGAGTTTAGTTGTTGTTGTTGAAAATAAAATAAAAAAAGTGATATAGTCAATGTAAATGGTTATGTAAAAGATCTTAAAAATATAAGTTTTAATACATAACTGATATTATTTGTGATTGCCATTGGATCATATAGTATAGAAAAAAAAAAAAAAAAATTGGCTGAGCTTATAGCATGGGAAAATATAACAAATTTGAATTTGTTGAATGAACATTAATGAGGTAGTAGTTATTTTGGATTGTTCTAAGTAAATAAGAAAACATATCACCCTGTTCACACACAACAAGTTAAGAGGGCTGTTAAAAAAATGTAAAATTAATTTTCTACTTTCTTCGATAATATCCTGATTAACATAAAAAAAATGTTTTAATAAAAAACATTACTGTTTTATAAATAGTACAAGTTATTTTTATTTTTTTAAAGCTTTTTCAAAAAAAAATTTTTTAAAGCTTTTGAAATTTTTTTTTTTCGAAAAATTTTTGAAAATTTTGAGTTTTTTGAGTCATTTTTACTGTTTTTTTTTAAATAACTTTATATTGTATACTTATAATCTTTATGTTATAAAAAGGAAGCATTTAAAAAGGAATGTATATACAGGAGAGCAAAAGAGGGGCACATGCATCACTCTAAATGTTTTTATGTTATAAAAAAAAAAGAAAATAAAATTACCTCAAGTTTTTCTTCAAGTTCATATAAAAATTCTCCTTCATAAAAATTCACAATACTCTTGGCGCTCATTACTGCACGTGATAAACATTCCAATCTATCATGTATAGTCAGCAGAGGTCTAAAAAATAAAAATTTAATTTAAAAGTTAAACTAATTAACTATTAAATTAATTTCAACAAAGCTTAAAAAACTTAAAAACTAAACCAATGACTAATGATAATTAAAGGATAATGAATATGGCTGAAACTCTTCACTGCCAACACCAGGATTTTGCAATTTCATTTTTAGAATAGAATTAATTGCAATTACATTTTTAGAATAGAATATTAAAATTCTAGAATTTTATATTCATTTTGGATTTGTAGAGGCAAGATTTTGACTTGCTTTTATATTATTCTAATCAGTCAGCTTACTTAGCTACTCTACCTAACTTATATTCAATAAAATGTTATGAGTAGTCAATTATTTATAAGCACAATAATTGATAAACTGCTTGCACATTTATTCTTCCAATAAATTTTTGCAGTAATATTTTACAGTATTGTCAGGAACAAGATCACTCTGCTGCTGTTACATCTAATACAGTACAAATAATAGGATGTGTGGCAATACATCCCATTTTTTTATGTTTTTCAGACTCATATAATTTATAATTTTTAAAATTTTTCTGTCAACTGTTTTCTTGCTTTTGAACTCTTTTTTTTTTGGTTTTGGTACAGGTTTGTTTGAAGTTATTTTAAACAAAATAAATAAAATGCACAAATATCAAAATTCAGAAATTAAAATAGTCTGACACATGATTATATATTTTCATTAATATTCAAGTTATGTAATAAAATAATATATTAAACCCTTCACGTTCAGCAAGCTTCAGAAGAACTTTTGATGCAGCTAAAAAGTTGTTATTCTTTTCATAAAACTTCCATAGTAAATCCAATGTGTCTTTATTATTCGGGTGCTATTTTATAAACAAATTAAAGTTACTTAAAACACAATTTTAAAATATTGAAACTTTTGGATATTTTTGGACTGGAAAACAAAGGTGGAAAGCAAAGAGGATAGAGACTAAAATTTATGGTTTATTAGAATATAGATCATTGACAATTAGCGGAAACTATGTGTGCATTTACATATATATATATATATATATATATATATATATATATATATATATATATATTATTATTATTATTATTATTATATATATGTATATATAATAACCACAGCTGCAAGAACTTGTCAATAATAAATTCCAATGTTATAAATAAGATGAAATTTATTATTGATAAATACAGGAAGTCAATAAAAATACTTCTCCATCACTCTGTATTTATAATTTATAATAAAAAAAGAAGAGAATTCCAGAATGCAAAATAAGTGGTGTGTAAAAAAAGCACAAAAAAAATCCACACTAAACTTAGGCTTATGCAGACCTAATGTTTTCTATTGAGTTTAAAACAAGCAACTTTATTGGTCAAGACATAACTGTTACTTAATTAGATTGTAAATATCTTTTATTTAGCACAAGCCTGATTTTTTTTTTAGGTTTGTGAAAGTAAAAGTTAAAAAACTTTAGTAAGATACAACAAATTTGAGTCAAAAGACAAGACCTACATCTTATTTAATACAACAGGGGTTGTACATTTGGTATGTTGAAAACGAGGACACCATTACTAGTCAATATTATGTAAGAAACTATTTGAAACCTGTTATGTGCATAATAAAAAAGCAAATACTTGTAACAGGAACTCAAAATTTTAAACTTTTCAGTAATAACTTTTAAATTAAAACATCTTAAATTAAATGCTTTTTATAGCAGTGCTCTTTATAGCAGTGCTCATATAGTAAAATGCTCTTTATAGCAGTGCTCATTATAGTATTTATAGAAAAGAGAAAGAGAAGCAACATTACGACGATGTGATAATGGTTGGAGCTTGGCTGCAAGAGCAGGTCTATCTATATTTACAATGTGTTTTTGCACCTTGTCCAAAAAAGAAAGGGTATCATTCAAAGTACCACCCTAGATATGGCAACAGTATTCCTTACAAGAACAAATTTGAGATTAATAGAGAAAAAGAATAAAATCTTGAGTAAGAAAGCGACGAGCACGATAAAAAGATGCAACCTAGGCGGATGCTAATTTTACAATGGATTTGATATATAGTTTCTAAGAAAGATCAAAAGTAAGAGTCAATCCTAGAAGATGAAGGGTAGATGACTCATCGAATACATTACCATTCATAAATACTAAGCACATTACCCTTCATAAACTAAAAAATTTGAAGGCTCAGAAAATTAAAATTTGTTTTTATTACGGAAAAAAGTTATTATTATTATTCTTTACTTTTTCTGCTTTTATTCTTCTGAAAACTTGTTTAAAGTTCGCATTTTAAAATTTAAATTGTGCAAACCTAAATTGGGCAGTACACTAATTGTCAATCATCTATATCCCATAATACACTTTCCGTACAATTTAAATTAATTAATATATACATATAACAATTTAAATTACCTGCTCTGCTGCAGTAGAAATTAGATATTGCTCTATGAAAGGAGATTTTATCTAAAAGAAAAGGAAAGAGTTTTTAAAAAAAACAAAAAAACAAAAAAAAATTAAACCACAATTACCTATAATTTAATCAAGGATATAATAATAATAAAGTAAACTTGGATTATATTTAAAACTCAGTAAACATTTTGGAATAATACTTCTAGAAGTCGATCAGTTTGATTAGTCTTGATCAACCAAGTATACAAAGCGACATGAAATAGTTCATCCCCACAACTCAAACCAGCCATCAACATTTGGTTGTACTATTGAGTAAAAGAATTATTTGAATTGCAGTTAAAATAAAAAACAAAAATTAAAAATAGCTCTTAAAAACAAAATACTTTATAATGAAAAATATAAGGATAAAAAAAAAAGAAAAAAGAAAAGGGTAAATATTAAAAATAGTAATAAAAAATAAAAATGGTTTTTTTTTGTAAAACTTGAGAAAAAAAAAAATTATTTTTTTCAATTTGAGAGAACTTTTAGATTTATTTAAATAAAAAAATTCAATAAAAATAGTTATTTTAACAAAAAAAAACAATAAACATACAATAATAATGAAACACAATAAGTGAACAATTAAAAGCATTAATAAATTGAAAGCAGTTACAATTGAAAAACTAATTATGTTACAGTATGAAACAATAAAACCTATTTTTATTCAATTATTATACAATTTTCAAAGTTTAATTAAATTTATTTAATTTTTTAAATAAGGAGGACTTATTTACCACGAGTAGCCCAATAGCCTGCATGGTCTATGGGATAGTTCTAAAGATTGTAAATGTGGCAGTTTTATCAGGTATAAGTTAGTTTTAAAGACAATAAGGTTCTCCTAGAAGCTATGAGTAGGTAAATGAGCCTTAAGTTAGCCTCATAGACTCACAACCCATAAGACTTATATATTTCTAGGACTTATATATTAATTTTTTTTTGGTCAAAAAATTAATAAAATTAAACAATTATTTTAAAAACATTAAAAAAACACAATGAAATTCACAAACCTTATCTAAATTTTATACTAGATTAATTATTTTTAAATTATTTTTTAAAATAAATTTTATGTAAATTTGAAATCCATAATAACTCTGGATGACTAAAGAGCAAACCATAACAGCCATAAAATAATGCTGTGTATTTTAGCAACCTAATCCAACTTCACCAACATATAACAATCCGATGTTGGAACAATGCACTTGTGAAACATCAAATATCACAACCCAGTGATCTAATAACCATCTAATAATTTTGATAATTAAAGATCATGTGACAACTATGTGTAACTAAGAAATCCTGTAAAAACCCAATGCAGCACACAAAAAAATAAATCAAGGTAGGGGATCAATTTGACCGGCTAACACATAAAATTGATTGTTATTGATTGTTTTTATTAACTGGTCAATTAAAAAAAATGGAGGTTTGAAAAATAAAATGCCACAAATAAAAATCATTAACGTTAATCATTTTCTTGATAACTCAAAAAAAAAAAAAAATGTATCAATAACAATTGTTATTATTTAAATAACTAAATGGGTTAATAACGTTCATTCATTGTAATGATTTCCCAAATGATGGCAAAATTTTAGGAGATATTTAAAAAAATTTAATTAAAAAATAAAACAGTTTAAAGAATAACTTTAATAAATGACAGAAGATAATAGTAAAACAAGAATTTTAATCAAGATGAAAAAGGCAACTTATCGAAAAAAAAGGCGATACTTATCGTAAAGTGAAACAAAAGATGGGTAAAAAGTGAAGATACAGCTTATGTCAAGTAACAGTATGCATCAATGAAGAACAAAAACTTAAACATCAAAAACAATAAAAATATATTTGACCCTTTTTCAAATTATTTCATTCTAAAACATTTTAGATGTTATGAATATTTAGTAATTTTAAAATGCATCATAGTTGTTAGTGAAAATTAATTTTTTTTAACTCAGATTTTTTAAACGGTCAACCTAGACTGGCAAAAATTCATTTTAGAATGGTCAAAACAGTAACTTTAGTCATTTTTGGAAGACTGTTGACAGCCTGTAATTTAATAACCATGAAGCAATACTGAAACTTTAATGAAACAAAAACACCAACTAAATCAATCAAACAATCAAATTAAAACTTTTAATAAAGATTATCATTTTAGCAAACATGTAAAGTATTTTAAATATCATTTCTAAAAACTTTGAAAAATGCTTACAAATTTTCTTGCTTGCTCTGCTGATAATCCATCTGGAGGAACAGGAGGACCAGGCCTGGTAGGAAGATGTGGTGATGCAGGATGTGAATTGCCTGTGTTAAGTAGATCTTCCAAAGTCTCAAGGATGCATCTGTATGATTCTTGACTAAAATGAAGACAATAAAATAGATGACAAATAAAGTATATCTCCCTCATTACATATTCTGTAAAAACTAATTACTATCTAAAAAAATAACTTCACAATTGAGATGTATCAACATATTAGAAAACTTACTGCATATTAAATGCCTCAACACCCTCAATATCATCTAGCGGCTCGCCAGTTTTATAGAAATGTAGAGCAATACCCATTGGATCACAATTTAGTGCAGTTGTTAAGCATAGTTGTACAATACCAGCATAAAAATTGTCTAAAAATTATAACACAAAAAAATAAATTTCATAATATTATTACTTTTATTCAAGATAATATAAATTTTTTGTTTAAAAAAACTCATATGTATCTAATTTTAATATGAATTTGTTGCATAGCTAATATGCAATTAACTTTAATTGTGTAATTAACTTATTTCTATTAATTTTTTCACTCACGATGAAGCTGCTAACAACATTTATATTGACAAAAAGCAACAAAGAGAGTCAAAGAAAACAAAACTGTATAAATTGAGAAAACACATAGGCAGAAGTCTACAGAGTGTTAGCCAGCCTGATGGCACAGCGTATAACGCGGATTTCCCAATTTTTTAAAATTTCTCAAAAGGTTATTAATAGGCTTAGATTTAAGGTGTTACGCAAGACTCATAAAAATACTATGAAATGAAGAAAATAAAAAAGTATACGAAACGAAGAAAATAATTTAGTCGAAAAAATAATTTACAAGAAAAAAAGCGTAGCAAATCACTCATTCAAAAATAAAAACTTTATTTTTTAACTGACGTCGTTGTTCTTTAGTTTTTATTTCGCTTATTAAATTTTTATTCGGTTTTTTTATTTCAAACTTTTTGTTTATAATAAAAAAAATTTAAACCAACAAATGCTGTTTATCTTTAGATAGAAAAGTAACAAAGATTTTATCTTTTTTTAAAAGTAATTTTGAAATGACATTTACCTCCACAAAATGAATTTTGTGGGGGTAAATGTCATTTCGAAAGTACTTTTAAAAAAAGATAAAAAAGTTTTTAATTAAGGTAATTAAATTTTTTTTTTGCTTGTGACATTTTAATATTAATTTAATAAATCATTTGTGCTTATAAATGTTTTGAAATATTTGCAATTTTTACAATTTTTTTTTTTAATTTACAAATCAAAAACTTTAATAAACAAATAAAAGAAGTTTAATTTAGTAAAACAAAATTTACAAATACAAAAATCAATTTTTATTAATTTACACATACTAAAGTTACAACTTAGAGAAATTTATCACTAAATATTTCCTTGCGCGGTCAACCAATCTCCCCCAATTATTGAACTTAATTCTAAAATACCATGAAGCAGTGAAAGTTCTTACCACTAACTTTTTATTCGACCGAAATTCTATTCGATAAAAAAAAATTCACTCAAAAGATATAGACGTTTTATTTGTCTAAAGCAACAAAAACTTTTTTAGCAACGAAAACTTTTTAATTTTTAACATTTTATTGAAAAATGTTTTGCTTCAAAGACCTTAATATTCTAGAATGACTTTGACGTTCTATTAGTTTAAATTAGTATTAAATAAACTATTCAATAAAAAAAAGATAATTTAGTACTTTAGATTCAAGTCAATAAAATAAAAGCGACAACAAAATGCCTTTAAATAATAGAAAATACTATTTTAAAAAGAAATATAAAAAAATTCAATCAAAAACTATTTTAAAGTTACTTGAAAAACACAAAGAAACAAGCGTGCAAAACTATAGTCAACAATGTACATCAATAGTAAGTCAAAGTCCTCTCAATCTACATACGTAGTAAGCAAAAGTTCTCATCAGTCTGCATCAATAGTAAACGAAAGTCCTCATCAGTTTAAATCAGCAGTAAATGAATATCCTCATTTTTTTTATTTGTCATCAAAACAAGGTTGGTTTTATAAAATTTGCATATCATTTGCCCTTGGAAAAAAAAGTAATTGCGCATTTATTGAAAACCCTGTCAAATCACCCCTTGGAGCATGCTAACAATCACTTAAATATGCATAGGCATACTATAGCTTTAAAAAATAAACAAGCTTTTGCTGAAATGTCTAAGCAAGACTCCAATATCTGGAAAATGCTGGGTGAAAATACCCTTGCAAAAGAAACATTAAAAAACAAGTAACTCTCACTTTGTTATTAAAACCTTCTTTCGAGTCACGCATTTGTTAATCATGAAAAACTGGGCACATACTGATAATTTTTTAGACATTATTGAACTTATTACTGTTTGTGGTTATAAGGAAGTTAAGACACACATTTTGTCTAGCCCAGCAAATGCAACATACATGTCTCCGGAACATACTGCTAATTATATAAATATTATCTTTGATTTTGTCAAAAATTCTTTACTCCAGTCACTTAGAAAGGGTGGGTGTTTGGTGGGAGTTTTTCTTTTTATTCGAATGAAACTTCTGATATTACTTCGATTGAACAGTTAACGCCACTTTCAAACACAACGGCATCATAAAAGAACATTTTATAGCACTAGTTCCTTTAAGTAAGCTCACTGGTTCTAGTCTATCAGCTCCAAATGTTTTTGATGTTACTTAAAATTTTTCTAGAGCTAATATCTCATTTAAAAATGCTCGCTTTGCTTGTATGAACACAACAAGTGTAAATTCTTGTATAAAAGGAGGTTTAAAAGCCTACATTGAAGATGCTGAGCCACTGTGTGTTTGGGCTGGGTGTACAAGGCATAAACTTGCATTAAGTTTTAAACATATTTTAAAGGACTCTTCTACTATTATGGAGGTAGATATTTTTTTACTCAACCTATGGAAGTTTTTTAAGTACCATACACTAGTCATGCATTTACTGCAGGAATGCTCTGAAATCTATGGAGAACTAGAAACAATAGTTCCAGTGTGTCCAAGTATAACATGTTGGACTGCACACGATTGAGCTTGTTTAGTTGTGTTTAAAGGTTATAAACCGATTTTACAAGCTTTGTCAACATGCTATACCGAACGAAAAGAAACAGAAGTGCTCAGGCTATTTATTTAAGCGAGTTCACAATCTAACATTGCAACAATATTAATGCTTTTAGATGTGTTTGAAGCAATTAGCCCAATTGTGCTAGCACTACAAAGTTTGCAAGTGGGAATTAGTCTCAGTGACGCTCCAACTTATGTGAATCAAGCTAACTATTTAGATGATTTAATCTTGGGTACTAGACAAAAGCATTTCATGCAAAAAAATTTTATTGAAATGAAATCAGTGACAGATGAAATAACTTTTTCGTTACCGGCCATGAGCCAATTAAAAAAAGATAATAACTTTGACTTGAATGAGTTTGAGTTAACCGTTTTTAGATAACAGTTTTAAAAATGAACTTTTGCGCAAATGGATTTTTGGCAATGGCTTTCGATTTTTGACCCAAGATGATTGCCTAAAACATTCAGCTAACTGTCTAGTTATGGTAAAGAAAGCTTAGAGCAACTTATAACTCACTATGGCAGACCAAAGAGCAGTAAAAAATTTGGAGCATTACACATTTAAGTACCAGATATTTTAGAAACCCAGACAAAAAACGAATTTGAAAGTTTCAAAATTATGTTATTTACATTCAAAATTATGTTATTTGAGTTTATTGAAAACAGTTTCAATATACGTATATCGAAAATAAAAGATCAAGAAGTAGTCAATAATTTAATTAAGTCAAGAAACAATTTTATGCTTCAAGAGTTATGGAAAGTGATTAATAATGACCCTGTTTTGATAAGTGTTTATGCTAATTGTATGTTTTTAACTAAGTTACTCATTATATTTCCTTTGAGTGTAGCTTGTGTTGAACAATTTTTTTCAAATTTAAAAATAGTTAAAAATCATCTTCAAAATTAGCTGAGAACATTAGAAAGATGATGATTGCAACATAAGGTCCGAAGGAGTGTTTTGACAACAATTTGTTAGAGTACTTTGTCAATAAATTGAAACGTAAAAATCAAAATATGAGAATTGCATTGTAAATTTAAAATTTACAATGTAAATTGCATTTTGATTTTTTTATTTGAGCTTACAGACAATTGGTGAATATTTAATATTTGTAGCTTTTTTTACGGAATAATCACAGTGATTTCTTGTATTCCAGTCGTGTTTTTACAATTTTTGTTTGTAGAAGTTAACTGAATTTTTATTTGTATGCAAAATAAAATCTTTTTTCACACAGCAAGTGCTAAGCTGTAGAGCTAAATGATTTTAATAATCATTATCTTGTTAATTAGACATTATTAGACGATAAAACGTTCTGCATGATCACCTAGTTTTCTTATTGCTTTAAACCCAATTGTTACTTAAATAAACTCATATGTCGAGAAACGCTCGTTTAAAATGCGTATGGCGAGCCAAGTTTATCTGAAATCTAACTATTTTTACTTATTGCTAATGACGTTTAAGGCAAAGTTTAAAACAATGAAGACGTTTAAAATTTACACTAACAAATTATTTATTGATAAAAGTTATATTATAAAATTAGCTAGCAAAAATATGAATACCTGTTTAAATATAAAAAAGGTTAAAAAAAAGTTTTAAGTATTTTAAATAAATTATTAAAACTTTCCTTATAATGTATGTTGTTTTTAAAAACAGCTGTCATTTTAAAGACAGGCGTCATTTAAAAAATAATTTTTTGCTATGAAAAAGGAAGATAAATGTTAAAACTAGAGAAACATTAAAATTGTTAAAAAATTATGTTGTAAAAAATTAAACTTTACACTTATAATAAAAAAGTAAATGAATAAGAAAGAATTCTATATTTACAGACATACACGTTCTGAATAATTGTTCAAATTTTTTTGAAAAATAATATATTTTTTTATCATATTAAATATTACTTAAAATAATATTTCTTTTTATTATTTCTTAAAAGCGAATTATGCAATTAAAGGAGATCAAAGTATAACATCGTTAATTATTTATTTTCAAATAAAAGATCATGGTTGTTTTCTTGCTAGCAAAGAAAAGACATAATTGCTAATAAAGAAACAAGTTGATAATTAATTTGTTTTAAAACTTTTCAGTTAAAAATATTTGTTGCATTATATTTTATATTTATTTCATTGGTAAAATTTGGTAACGTGCGACCTTTTTTTTTTTACTCACTAGTCGACAGCAACCTAAATTACCAATATAATGAAAATGCTGTATAAATTTTATTCCTGGCTAACACCCTGGTCTAGTGAAAAAAAGTTTAGTGAATTCTAAAGCATTGATGTGCAAACTGTATGAATCAGAAAAAGATTTAGATTAAAACAAACTGTATGAATCAAGAAAAAAAATAGACACAAAAGAATTCTAAAGATGAATTATAATTCTAAATTGATGTGCAAACTGTATGAATTAGGAAAAAATAAAAACAAAATAGAATTCTTAAGCATTGATACGAAAGAAAAAATAGTTAAAATAAGAAAAAATAGATAAAGTTTTAAGAGAAAAAAGTGTTTGGAGAAAAGAGAAATGCAATCTTACAAATATGGGAGAGAGGCTCAAACTTGGTAGCTAGAGCAGATCCAACTAAATTTTAAACCATGTTTAATTTTAAACCATGTTTAAAAGAGAAAGAGCATCATTAGAAGCACCCTTGAAACTGAAAATGCCTCAACACCCTCAATATCATTAAGTGGCTCACCAGTTTTATAGAAATGTAGAGCAATACCCATTGGATTACAATTTAGTGCAGTTGTTAAGCATAGCTGTACAATACCAGCATAAAAATTGTCTAAAAATTATAACAAATGTTTAAAAAAAGATAAAAGAATCGGTAATGTTAAAAGGAACTAGATTGAAATTGTCATTTTTAGATGGTTTATTTGTTTATTAATAGTGGGTTTTTCCCACTCTTTTCCATGTACATGCTTTCTTTGAGTTTTAATATAAATTTATTTGCAGGCTGTAAATCCTGTTATATTGACAAAATTACTCGCCATTTAAAGGCACAAATAATCGAGCACCAAAAAAAGGGATTAAAACTCACACATTTATAAACATATTCATTCAAATGAAAGCTGTTTTAATAGTTTTAATCATGCTAATTTTTCAATTTTGGATTCAGCCTTCAACAAATTTATATTAAAACTCAAAGAAAGCATGTACATAGAGTGGGAAAAACCCACTATTAATAAACAAATGAACCATCTAAAAATGACAATTTCAATCTAGTTCCTTTTAACATTACCGGTTCTTTTATCTTTTTTTAAACATTTGTTACTAACAACATTTATAATGACAAAAGCAACAAAAAGAGTCAAAGAAAACAAAAACAATTTTAAAAATGTATGAATCATTCCAAACTGTATAAATTAAGAAGACATATAGGCAGAAGTTTAGTGAAAAGAAGTCTAGTGAATTCTAAACCATTGCTGTGCAAACTGCATGAATCAGAAAAAGATTTAGACAAAAGAGAATTCTAAAACATTGCCTTGCAAACTGATGTGAATCAAGAAAACAAATAGACACAAGAGAATTCTAAAGATGAATTATAATTCTAAATTGATTTGAAAACTGCATGAATTAGGAAAACATAAAGACAAAAAGGAATTCTTGAGTATTGATATGCAAGAAAAAAATAGATAAAGATTTTATCTAGTTTTTTTCTTAATAGAGATAACAGCTTGCTTGAGCAGCAACCATTGTAGTGTTTGGATAGAGAAAGATCTTACAAAAATCTTACAAAAATGGGAAGCTTGGTAGCTAGAGCAGGTCCAACTAAATTTTAAACCATGTTTAAAAGAGAAAAAGTATCATTAGAAGCACCAGCCCAAATATGACAACAATATTAAATATGAGAACAATATTTGATACATGAATGAATAAATAATTATATACTAGTAAAAATTGGTATCAGAAGTAAGAAATTGGTGAGCACAATAGAGAGAGAGACAACCTTAGCAGATGCTGAATTCATAATTTAATTTTAACTTGAATGTATAACTAAATAAATTTCAATATAAATCTACCACTTACTTAATTTTAGCTGCTGAGTCACCCACTGTAAATTAACCAAATCCGGAACCTTTGAATAAATCTAGAAAAAGAACACTAATAAACGTATACAACAGTATACAACTTAAATACTTTTAAGGTAAATATGAATACTAACAAATTATTTTTGAATTTAAAGCAGACAAAAAATTAATATCAAAACAATGTGATATATTTTTCAGATATTTTAAAATTAAAACTTTTTCTAAATTTTTGAATTTAAAAGTCTTAATAAATATTTGAAAGAATGTTAAAACCATCTACATGTATTCAAAGGAATAAAATTAAATTTATTTATTTTTGCACTGTTTTTATAGAAGAGCAAAAAAACAAGTAAGTATAATAAGTCTTTGTTAACAAGTGTTTTTGGATGGAAACCAAAATCGAAGTAATAAATACTATTTGTAGTGTGCTACATTTATAACTTACATAGTAAAATTTTGAAGAATGCAAACTATTTAGAATTTATTTAGTGACTTTAAAATAATGTAAATTTATTAAAAAACAATTTGTTTATTAATTATTGTAATATTAATCTATTAAGAACTAAACCCAAGAACATAGAATCAAAAGACACTAAAGGTTAGCAAAATATGAAGGTCAGCAAAATATGAAGGTATTTTATTGTTATATTTCACATCAAAATATTGGATTAAGACAGAAAAATTATTTCTGGCATAAAACAGAAAAATTATTTTTGGCATCAAAATTGAGTTTGGATCACTATGCCCAGCAATCTGGCTACTAGCCAGATAAATGGTTTATAAAAGTCAAGTTAGATGAATTGTGCATGATAAATAATAAATTAAACTAATGGCAATTATATTTCCAACATAAAAATAAGCTTTGACCTCTGACTAGCTCAAATATTTAGAGCTTTATATAGACCAAACAACTAAACTCTTTTATTTTTCAATACCAATATATTTTCAGTGTTTTTTCTTAAAGAGAAACAATAAACAGGTGCTCCTGTTTGTTGTTTTTTCTTAAAAAGATATTCAGAGGATCAGCACTAAATAACAGTTTCATTTTTTAAATCGAGGTTTTGTTTCTTTCTGGATATTTTTTGAGTAATTGACTAAATCAAGTAGTTTACTGCACTATATACATTATGGAGAAAAAAATTCAACTCCATATCGGGTGGACACGGAAAAATCCGGTCAACTTTAAATTGAGATTTCTCCAAAACCACAAATGCTTTTTATTTAATTTTTTTTTTTAATTAAGCCTTACTTCCTTATCTTAAATGGTGTTGATGAACTTTTGTTTACAAATTAATGATTTGCAAAATGTTTTGGAAACAAATTGAGGTGCGTAAAAAAGTTGTGAATTTTTTTTGCAAAAATCCATCGACTTCCTATCGCTTGATTGCTAAACGCACAAATGTCCCAAAATCTACAGTCATAGATATTATAACCAAGTTCAAGACTACTCAAAGCTTCGAAAGAAGACTTGAAGGTCAAGAAAAAAAACTTTCCATAAATCCAAAAAGGTAAAGTCGATTTTACGTTCAATAGCAAGAAATCCAAACCAGTCACAGCGAGATCTAGCAAAAAAGTTCAAGACTTCTTGTTCTTATATCAAAAAAGTACTTAAAAATGCTGGAATTAAAGCATTTCATAAAAAAAATACACCTAAGAGAAGCTTAAATTGTGAAATTAAAGGAATTCGACGTGCAAAGAAGTTGGTTAAAATAATAATGGATAAAAATATGTGCATAATCGAAGACAATGAAGCGTATTGCAGGGCGGATTTTTCACAACTTCCTGGTCAACAGTTTTACTATGAAAACAAAGATAAACCTGTCGATGATCAATTTAAATATATTAAAAGAGAAAAATTTGGATCCAAGTTCCTTGTGTGGCAAGAAATTTGTAGCTGTGGTATGCAGTCCTCTCGTTTTCTCACTAAAAAGACCTTGACTGCCAATCTCTACATCAAAGAATGCCTCAAAAAATGACTTTTTCCTTTTATAAAAAAACACAAATACCGATGTCTCTTTTGGCCCAATCTTGCTGCCTCTCACTATTCTAAATAAGTTCTACAGTGGTGCAAAAATAATAATATGAAAATTGTTCTTAAAGATGCGAATCCTCCAAATCGTCCTGAAGAGCGCACGGTTGAAGATTTTTGAGCAATAGTTAAAGGAGTTCTTCGTGAGACAGGTGGAATAACAAATAATAAAAAAGACTTCCAAAAAAAGTGGATTAATGCCACCAATATGGTGAAAAAAGAAAAAATCTGTTAAATGATGACATCAACCCGCTATAAAGTTCGATTTCTTGCCAAACAACTAATCAAGCCCCTTAAAATTAAGTTGAAACTCTAATTTATGTAAACATTTAATAATAGAAAAATTGAAATAAAAAGCATTCATGGTTTTAGAGAAATCTCAATTTAAAGTTGACCGGATTTTTCCGTGTCCACCCTATAGCTGTAGCTTTTGAAATACCTAATAAATTTTAAAAGTAAAAAAATGTCGGATCTTGAAAATAAATTAAATGCAACAAACTTTAATCATCCTATAAAGTCTTTGGACAACATTCAAGATTTTAAGATACCAATTCAGAAAATAATGAAATATAAAAACTATTAATGAGCAACTAAATAAAGCCATAGAAAAGTGTTTTAGCAACAACCAGAAATTCTTCGTCAAGATTAAGCAAACTTCTGAGATATAAATTATTAAATGTCATCATTTGAAAGTGTACATAGAGCAATAATGTTCAAAAAATTGATGATTTTTTAATAGTAAACCAAGCCTAGCGTTCAAAAAAGGCACTTTCCCCTTAAAGACTATTTTGCAGTAAAATACAGTTAAGTGATAAGAGTTTATTAAGTTTAATAGACTTGATAGACCAGAATATGACTTTACAATTCCAATACTGGAATTGAAATATTTCTGGCTTTTTACAAACAATGTCTGCTATTTTCTCTTGCATTTTTTTATTGCTGATTTATCATTTTCTTTCTATTTAAATAGATACAATTTTTAAATAAGATTAAAAAAACAAAAAAAATCTAACTAAGAGTCAAGATGTAGTCTAAGTAACTTAAAGTAATGTCTCAAATTTTAATTTAATTTTGTAATAAAATCAAATTTTTTCTACTTTTTTTAAACGTCTTCAATTCCAACAAGGCTGCAAGCAACCACTATTGGAGTTAGAAATTACTGGCAGAGAAAAAATTAAGCTTATAAAGCAAGATAACAATTAAAACATAACTTGAAAGATGGCAAATTATGTGAATCAGGAAAACAAGATGGAGGGATCGAATACCAAACAACTGACGTTCTAGGAAAAAAACTAGACAAATAAGAATTTTCGGAGCACTTAGGAACGGTCACATTAAAAAGATAAGACTTAACTGGATGACAAGAATAAATTTTAGTAGATAGTTCAAAAAATACAACCTCTTTATATTTATAGAAAAAAGAAAGAGAAACAACATTACAAGGATGTGACAATGGTTAAAAATTGGCTGCAAGAGCAGGTCCAACTCCTTTACAATGTCTTTTTGCTCCTTGTCTAAAAGAGAAAGGGCATCATTTAAAGATCGGCTTCAGATATGGCAACATTCCATACAATGACGGGTTTGAGATTTATAGAGATTTATAGAGATTTCATTCCAAATACTCAATATGAAGAATAAAAGTTTGGATATTTATAAACATATCAAATTTCAATATACATTTCTTTTTTTTATATAAAATCAATTAATACCATTAAAGCCTCTTGAAGTATTTTTTCTTTTTCTTTCTGGTTATTTACCAAAGACGCTGATATAACTGTTTCATTTGCCTTTATAAAAAAGTCATAAAAAAAATTTTAACAACATTTTAAATCCAATAACAAATCTAGTAAAGTAACAAAACTAAACCTAAAAAATAACAAAAAAATTATAACTAAAAACGATAAATACTTATCTAATATCAAATTATTTTATTCAAAATATTTATTTCAATTTATAAAAAATATTTTCATTTATTTTTTATATTTAACTTACTCTGGTACACATGGCATCATTAGCTGAATAAATTGTTGGACAAATTTCACGCAAACGATTACTCAAGTTCTCAATGGCAGAGTTATCATGCAAATATTTTTCCATTAGTAGGTTTATTAAACAAGTGCTGAGCTAAGCAAAAAAAATAAAATTAAAAATTTTAACTCCTTTTACTTTTTTAAAATTATAATCAAAATTTCTTAAAGGGATCCCAAACCTCTAAGACATATTGTGTTCATATTAAAGAGAATGATAAAAAAAAATGTTTGGGCAAAAATTTTTTGAATAAAACAAAATAAAAAATGCATACCAAGAAAAACTAAGTTTTTTATTTTAGTTGAAGCTCTCCATTTTGTTGTAGGCCAAAAAGTTGGGATAATAATAGACTACAATCTACAGACTTGATAATTTATTCAAGCACGTTTTATTCCTAAGACTTTAAGTACATGAGGTCATTGATTTTTTTGTTTGTTTACCTAATCAATCTTTACACAAACAAAAAAATCAATGATATCATGTACTAAAACTTATAGGAATAAAACGCGCTTGAATAAATTACCAAGTCTGTAAGTTGTGGCATATATTATGCTGAATTTTTGGCCTAAAACAAAACGGAGAAGGCAAGCTTTAACTAAAATAAAAAAATTAGTTTTTCTTGGTATGCATTTATTCTTTTGTTTCATTCAAAAAAATTTTGCTCAAACATTTTTTTTCAAAATAATTCTCTTAAATATGAACACAACATGTCTTGGAGGTTTGGAATCCCTTTAAAAATTGATATATATATTTTTAATTTTAAAACTAATATTTATCTTTAAATATTTATTATTTTTTATTCAGAAGTTTGCTTATATATAATTAATTGGTTTTTTAAATTAAAAAATTGTTGATTCTGTTTTGATCTTTTTTATGCGAAATGAAATCCCACTTAATCAATAACAACTAACTTCACTTCCGGTTGAGGAAAATAAATCTTTTAAAGGAATATGCTTTAACTTCTCCTTGATATCCTGAAAAATAAATTATTATATCAAGAACTTTATATCAAAAACTTAAAATAATCATTAATAAAAACAATTCAATATTTTAGTGCAAAAAAAGTAACTTAAAAAAAGACCATACTATTGGTGCATCTTCAACAACAAGATGAAACTGATGATCAGCTAACACTCGCCATAACTCTAATGCTTCCAATGTAATAAGCAGCAAATTATGGAATGTCTTTAAGGCTCGCTTTTCTTCCAAAAATACATCATGAGGAACTAATTTAAACATTTTAAGTGTAATCACATAATAATACAACAAAGAATGTTCATTACATTTTAACTTAATAAAAAAAAAATTTTTTAATTTATTCAGACTTTAAGGGATCCCAAACTCCCAACACATGTTGTGTTTATATTAAAGATAATGTTAAAAAAAAAGGTTTAAACCAAGTTTTTTTGATTAAAAATAAATAATGAATGCATACCAAGAAAAACTAATGTTGTTGTTTTAGCTGAAGTTTGCCTTCTCTATTTTATTTCAATATTTTGGAGTCTTCAAACTATACGTTACAATCTACAGACTTTTGCGATTCCTTTGAAGCTAAACCTTTTAATTCATAAAAGTTTTAGTATTTGACGTCACAGTAGACTTTTAACAAATGAAACTCTGGAAATATTTTTATTTATTTTAATTCAGAATTTTTTTGATTTGTTTAGTTTTTTTTTTCTTTTTTTAGCATTTAAAAAGATAATAAAAACCTCAAATATTTTATGCTGGTTTGTTGCTGTAAATTGTTATTGCGCCATATATTTAATGTTTATAAATTATGATTATTTATTATCTCAATCAAGACTTTGATAAAAAATTGTTTTACATTAATTACCCGTATAAATATAGTAACAGCATTTTTATTTGGTTAGACGATATTTTGTTTCAATTTGCTTTGCATGAAGTTCGGAAAGTCAAACAAAAAAAATTAGTTTGAATAAACACGTCGAAATATATTTAAAACAAATTATTTTAATGAAGGGGATTCTTAGGTTTTTTATAACAAATGTAGGTAAAAAATAAATAACTAAATAAAAGGTTCAACATTAAACATCATTTCTTTATTATATTGCAACTGTAAATATTGAAATATTAACTTGAACTAAATTTACTTATTATTTAAAATGACTAAGCAATAAAAATAAAAAGCCCCTAAAATTATGCGATATTGTGTTGTTTATTTGATAATTGTTGTTGGTAATGTTGTTTATGTTGATTATTTTCATTAATATCAAAATAGTCCCAGATTAATCTGTTAGTTGCTTTGTTCATTGTTGATTTATTTCTAATTTAATTTTATCTCTAAGTATAATTTTATGTTAAGAAAGAAAAGTTTTTATTTCATCGCCCGCTCTTTTTATAAAAGAGTAGAACAAAAGAGAAAGAAAAATTTTGCGCAATTAAACTTTGAATGAATAAGAGTTGTATAGAACATATATATTTTTTGCTTCACTCGTTCTTTTTTTAGATGAGAGAAATAAAAGTTTAATAGTAATTTTTCTTTGAATAAATGAGAAATGGAAGAAAAAATTGCTTGTATTTGTTAATTGTGTTTTTAAAAATTTTTAATTTTTCATGTTAAGAGACAAATGCTAAATACGACACAAATCGGGAAATACCAAATATAATATGTTTTTTAATGCGCGTTATGACATTTTGACAATTTAAATTACCATCTATCTTGAATTATTGCCATTAATTTATGTGTTAATTATTGCGTTATTTAATAATAATTTGTCCGTATTTTTGTTAAATATTAGTTGCATAAAACGGGCAATGTATATGAACTTCATGTTTTTAATTTGATGGTTATAAAATATTGAACAGTAAACTTATAATATTTATAAGTTTTTATAATAATTTTATTTATAATATATTTATTTATAAGTTTATTTATAATTAATTTATTATAATATATTTATTTATAATATTTATTTATAAGTTTTTATAATAATTTTATATAATTTATTATGCCGACTTGTGTTGCTATTAATTGTACTTTTAATGCAAAATCAGAATCTCACATATTCTTTCACGAATGTTCATATCTGATACTACTGTCAACTGTATTGTTTAGTGTATTCTTGTACTTTTTTTTCATAACCTTAACAGGTTCTAATTGGTATGGAGTTGCTGACATTTTAAAAATTTCATTATCAAAAACCAAATGTAAAATAAAATGATATTTCCTTCAGCAAATTTAGCAGTTTAAATTAAATCAGCGTAATCAAAAAAATGTTATAATAAAAAAAGTTAACAATTCATCAAATATCTCTAATTTATACTGTCAGTTTATGAAAGTAATTGTTAATAAATACTTTTTTTCAACAGAAAAACAAAAAATTGTCATAGCATAAAAATAACAAGAGAAGTTAGAAAATAGTTCCTGTTGTTTAAATAAAAATAAAAAAGAGTCAGAATATATAATACTGCGATCTCTTGCACAAAAACGAGAGACCGTATATATAACATTCTATATAATGTAAAATACTCATATGAAAATCATAAGATTGGTAAGTAAAGTTTTAATATTTGTTTTAATTTAAAAACAATAGAAATATAAGTAAGATATATAAATCTAAAAATTATTAAGATATCTGTAAAAAATAAGTTGCTCCTATAAAATAAAAATATTTTATTGTTTTTACATTTTACAAAATTTTTTTTGTGATGTTTGGAAAAATAATACAAATAAATTTGTTTTGCTGTTAAAAAAAATACTACATCGTACTTTTAGAATTAAAGTAGAAAAACGCAGCTTTGTGTAATTACACTTTTCATTTGTTAAAAGTCTACCGTGACGTCAAATACTAAAACTTTTATGAACTAAAAGGTTTAGCTTCAAAGGAATCGCCAAAGTCTGTAGATTGCGATGTATAATTTGAAGACTCCGAGTTATTGAAAAAAATGGAGAAGGCGAGCTTCGGCTAAAACAACAACATTAGTTTTTCTCGGTATGCATTCATTATTTATTTTTAATCAAAAAAACTTGGTTAAAACCTTTCTTTTTAACATTATCTTTAATATGAACACAACATGTGTTGGGAGTTTGGAATCCCTTAAATAAAGATAAAGTTATAAAAAAAAAAATCTATTGCTTAGATCAACATAAATTTGAAATGTAGGTTCCTACCACTTGATTCTTCCGAAACAAGAGAAAACCGATGAATATAAGTAGGAGATTGTGATGCAGTGACATCAGAGTATGTATCCATAAATTTCCTCAATTTGTATAGCTGTTCTGTAAACCATGATAACTCTGCACTTGTTAGACGACTTTGCAACTACACATTAAAAATATATATATTCAGATATGTATGTATATACAAGGCTCAATTTAATTTTTTATAAAGTCCCGGACAAAATGTCCGATCGAAACTTGTTTGAGTCGGACATTGTCTGATCAAACTTTTTAAATATAACTTTTACGGTTTTACGGAACCATCGAAATCTTTGTCATGTTATTAAGTTTTTTTAACGTTAGTTATTTTAAATATTTTATTGCACACTTTTGCGTTTTTTTTAAAAATAATATTGTTCCAATTTAATATTTTATGTTTTTTTAGATAGACTTAAATTTTCACGCTGTAACTGACAGCGCTTATTTTTTTATTCTTTACAACTTGACAATGGCTGTTTTAATGTTTTAACTATTAAATGCATAAAAAAAAAATTGTTTTTTTAAACAATTTTTTTCGCAATTTTTTGAAAAAATTGTTTCAACAACTTAAATATTTTATATTTTTTTCTTTTCAATAATTTAAATAAAATTTGTTTATTTATTAAACAATCAATAGAAGTAAGGGGTTATCCATAAAGTGCGTATGCTTTTTTTTTGTCCTACCTACTACCCACACACCTTTGCATTTTGTAATATGCTTTTTTGGGTACCCTTCACCTCCCTAAAAGTATCTACGCTTTTAACCTATCTACCTAACATTTGATGATTTTTTTTTAATTTAGTGTCCCCTTTCTTTTTATAATTGACCTACTACCCTCCCATCTTATATACGCCATTTGCTGACCCCCTCTTCCCCTACGACCGTATGTACTTTATGGACGATCCCTAATTTGTAAAAATGTTTTGTGCAACTTTAATAAAACGTTTCAAAAAATAAACTTTAAAGTAATTTATTTGAAACGCATCTAAAAACGTAACAAAAAGTAGTTTTAACTTCAAGTTTTTTGAGTTTTATTTTAAAGCTTTTAATTTATTTTTTATTTACCTTTCTTTTAATTTTTAAAAATATAATAAAGTATTTATTTTATAGAATTTTAATTTCTATCTGTCAAAATGTCAGATTACTTTGTAAATTATATATATATATGTAAATATATATATGTAAATATATATATATATATATATATATATATATATATATATATATATATATATATATATATATATATATAAACATTGTGTCAAGCGCAACGGTACCGTTGATTTAGTTTTTTATCTTAAAGTCACGGTAGTAAAGTTTGATTGGTTTATTTAAAGTCACGGCTGGGAATATGATTGGTTAATTTTGAAAGTTTTATTTGTATAAATTTAAAAAGAATTTCAACTATAACATGTTTGGTTTAACATCGTGGTATCTCAATTGTTTATTACCAACGTAGTCCTGGAACGAGTCCTACATTCTGAAAAATATTTTTTAACAATTTTTTTATTGAAAGTTATTATTGTTGTATATTGAAAGTTACATATATGTTTATTATTTACAAACATCCACTGATATAGGGATAGGCGCAGTGAGTATACACACATTGACTGATTTAGGGATAGGCGCAGTGAGTGTACATATATTGACTGATTTAGGGATAGGCGCAGTGAGTGTACATACATCCACTGATTTAGGGATAGGCTCAATGAGTGTACATGCATCAATTAAAGGTTTTGGTTTGGGCATGCATTCTTTAAACAAAAGAAAAAAAAATCAACGAATCAGAAATCACTACCATGACTTAAAGAAAATAATTAAAGCAACGGTACCGTTGCTTTAATTTTACGGTACCGGTAAAATTAATCGTACCATTGCGCAAGCAACAGTGAAATATAAATACACCATACTTTTATTGTTGTGTTTTTAGCTTTGTATTTAAAATACAATTAAGTCGAATTGGTACACAATTACTTAAAACTTAAAATTAAATCTTTTTTATAAAACAGTAATAAAAACTTGTTTATTTAAACTTAAATTACGTAACAAAATTTTTTTCTTAAAAGCATAGAACTTTCAAGATTTAATTACAAAATCTTTTTATTGTATTCTGACCAAAATCTTTTCATTGTATTGTGAATATATATAATTTTTTTTTTCATATAACAGTTAAAAAGAAGAATTGTTACATATTCAAATAAACCTGAATTTTTTTATCATCTACCAAAACTTCAGAAACCATTGACAAGTTCCATATAGGTCTAAAAACAAAAATGCATTTCTTTTGTTGCTTTTGTTATGTTATAAATCTGCCTAAGCACATAAAATATAAATAAACAAGTATACCTAAGAAGTCTTGAGAAATATATCACCAAGCCATTGTACTTTCCTGATTTTCTATTTTCTTGTGCATTTAGATTTTTTGATGGAGGCAAAACTGTTGAGGTAAGATTTGGCTGAGCTGGTGTAGGCTGTTGATTGTGATAGCTATAATTTAAATAAACTCCTTCACGTTATGCATAAGCATTATAATTATGTATAAATAAACTCCATAATAAACGAACCTTATTGATACACATCAGCTTTATATAAATAAACTCCATCATAAAAGAACGATAATTTTCATAAGCTTTTTTTTGTAAACTTGCTTTATTAAAAATGATATTTTATAAAAATAAAAAATGTTGCAAAACAAGTTTTAGGTTTTCTTTTAAAAATGATAGCAAAACAAGTTTTAGGTTTTCTTTGGAACACTAATGTTTTTTTTTTATAAACTTCATGTATTTTGTTAACTCCATCATAGGATAACAAAAACACTTGACTAAACAAAAGACTACTTAAGACATTTTAAATGTTCATTAATACAAATACCATAATGCAATGCATTAAGTTTCATTTATAAATAGAACTTTAGTTTTATTTATAATTAGAGTTAAATATTCTGTAGAAAATATTTCAATCTAAAAAAATTTTTAAGTTTGTTTAAGATAAACTTGAGATTAAAGAGAGCTTATAACTTAATGAAAGTTATTACGAAGCTAGATTGGTAATTTATCTAGCAAATATTTTTATAAATTATGCCAAATAGTTTATAATCAACAAGTGTCCAAATACATTAATACCTTCACTCTTATAATTAAATATAATATAAACCTTTAAATATAGTATAAAAATTATGTTTTATTTTTTTATATTTCATTTTCCTAAACTAATTTAAAGTCACAATCATGAATTTTAAATATTACACGTGTACTTATCTTTATAAAATAGATACACAACATTTTGCTGATAAGCTGTTATTGAATATACAGCACTTTGAAAGTAAATATGAATTCATAAATAAAAAACATAAACAGAAATTTTAATTATTAACATAATCTGATATACTGATAATTATTTTTTTAAAACATCGATCTTTGATTAAAAAGTTGTCATTCTGTGATTATATATACAACATACATTCTTATGTTTTCATGAAGCAATGTTACAAAAGAAAAAGGTAGAACAATATTATAAAACAGATCAATGTTATAAAAAAATCTACTTGTTATTGATGTAAACACAAGAAATAAAGACTTTGTACAATAACTGTTGTGAATATTTCAACCTATTTGCCATGCCACTAATTTTATTTTCATCAACATAAGTTCAATGCATACAGAGTATGGACATCATTTGCTTTTTTTTGACTTGTTGAAACAATGACCAATAATCAAACAATAACTTGATATTTTTTTTGTACTGGTAGAGTGCTCAATTCATAAGCAAGAGGTACGGAGTTTAAGTCCATGATGCCCCTAGAAGTACTGCACTTAATTTGTTTCTCCCCGAATTATATTTTGATTTTATAGAGTTAAGAAAGAAGCAAAACAAGCATAATATTTTTAAAAAACATAGGCCGCCTCCTGTAGTTTTTTGGGCCTTAGGGAGGAAAATATCTTTGGGAGGTGAATATATTTAGGGAAATGAATATTCTTAGGGAGATAAATATAAAAAAAACCTACTGATGACGCAACACAACATAAATTCCCAAACATTTAAATACCCAACTTACAATTGTTTAGATTATTTAGCTTTAGACTAATAGACTTAATAAAAAAAATCTCTACCCCACAATGTTTGTTTCTGTCCCCTCAATGTTGTCAATAATTCATATGCAACAGATACATCACCTTTAAAATATAACCATGTTTGACAGTAATCTATTAAAAACTATTTTAATAAAAAGTCAATAAACTCAGAAGATTAAAAAAACAAACAAATAACCTTTGTGGAATTGGTGTAGCTAGAAAACTTCCTTGACTGCTACCTCCTTGAACAGGGCTTCCAACTAAATAACTCTCCATTGGGTTAGATATGCCAGGTAATACATTTGTAACTTTATTAAACTTTTGAGCTCCACTGCCATAACGAAAGAAAGCTTGAATAGCAAAATCACCTATCTAAAGAGATTTTAAATTAAAATTTTTAATTAAGTCCATAATAGTTGTGACATGAGAATTAAAAAATGGTTTAATTTCTACAATTGTTTTTACGAATCTATTTCAAATTAAATTGTATAATTCCCTCACATAAGCTTCTGATTCAGCACATTGGCAAACAAGTGTGATACAAACTGCACAAGCTTGATCTGCCTAAGATAACCAAATAAAAATATATAAAACAATTGAATACAAAACTTTAACAAAATAAATATGGAATTAAGTTCAATAAAGATGTCATAAAAAAAAGTAAAACAAATTTAATATTTTATTGGTTTAGTAAGAAAATGTTTAAATATAAATTTTTTTAAATTTTCTTACTGAATCTTTAAAATATATATATATATATATATATATATATATATATATATATATATATATATATATATATATATATATATATATATATATATATATATATATATATATATATATATATGTATATATATGTATATATATCGACACTTGGAATTAGAGTCGGTATTTGGCAATGCCGACCTGAAAGTATTTGAGGTCAGCATAAATTGCTGACCTCGTATCTATGTTTTATGGTCAGACCTTTGTATCAAATAATTTTTGTCGACCTGATGCCGACCTCAGAAAGATTGAGGTCAGCAAATTATTGCCAACCTCATTTTTCCTAATTCCGAGGATTGATATATATATATATATATGTGTATATAATATATATATATATATATATATATATATATATATATATATACATACATTTATATATATATATATATATATATATATATATATATATATATATATATATATATATATATATATATATATATATATATACATACATTTATATATATATATATATATATATATATATATATATATATATATATATATATATATATATATATATATATATATATATATATATATATATATATATATATCAGTCAATGTAGCAGCACTCCGTTGCAAGTCAAGCTATAAGATAGTCGATGTAGCAATACTCAGTTGCGAGTCAGGCTATAAGATAGTCGATGTAGAAACACTCCCTTGTAGCAGCAGGCTATAAGATAGTCAATGTAGCAACACTCTGTGCATTTTTTAAAAATATATTTCAATAAAACAACAACAAAAACACTATTAATTAAAAAAACTTTTTACAGGGTTCATGGCAGTTTTAGAAATCTATTTTCCTTGAGTTTTCCCTGATTATTCCCTGAATTTCACCTGATTTCGAGTACTTTTTCCCTGATTTCAGGTGTTAAAAAGTATATAATTTTCCTTTTTAATGTTGAAGGATATAATACTTTTGCAACTGAATCCATGTTCCCCTAATATTTTTATCAGAATTTTTAAAGAAAATTAGATACTTTTAATTAATTGAAATCTGCAAAAAGAAGATTTTTAAGTAACAAAAAGTAGTTTAATAAGGAAACAAAAAGCCATAAAAGTCAAATAAATATATAAAAAAATATTTAAAAAATAACAATTTGAATCTACCATGTAATCTTTCTATGCAATTTACTGATAATTAAACCTTATTCCTTTTTTTATTCTTTTATTAGAAACATAAAATAAAAAAAATTTTTTAAAGATATTTTGAATAAAGTAATGTGTTTTAATAAAATATGAATTTTTTATGAGATCTATTCTATAAGTTATTTTAGTAACTTTCTCTTTTGATCTAAGATACTAGCTCTTATTTCTTAATTTCTTCATTTTTCTCATTTGCTTTTCATTTCATAGCATTAGCTTAAGAAATTAACCTTATATCTTGCTTCTCCTCAGCTTCTTCAACAAATTTTACAAAATCAAGCTGCAACATTTCATTGGTTTTTTTCAGTTGGTCTTGTTTCCACAACTTATTTTATCACTAACAACTTTCCTAGCCAATTTCTTCATTTTTATTAGTGTCTGTTATTGAACTTAGGTACATTCTATATCTTTCATGGGCTGATTTTACATTGATTATCATTTTATTTGTAATTTCAATACTATGTGGCTGAAGATTATTTGATAGCATATGATCTTTAACTAAATGTATTACAGTTATTGATTTTTCATTCAAATTTTGTTGGAGTATTGCAGCATTTATACTAAAACTACTCTCAACTGAAGCTTGTCCATGACTTAGTGTCAACAGTATTTTGACAGTTGTCATGCCAACTTGTTATATTTACTTAGATTGCACTTTTTACAATAGAAAACGTCAAAACTTTTTTTATCTCTATTGAATACATGAAAATTGTTTTGATAAACCCTTGGTTCTCTAAAGAAATTTGTAAATTGATTTATAGCTTTATCAGAAAAGATACTTTAAGCTAATCAAGTTGGTCAATAAAAATTTGTACTCCTTCTCAGTGTTTTCTGGAGTCATTGTTCTTAATGCATTAGGGTTAAAAACCTGAGAATTGAGTACAATGATAGATTCTAATGGAGTTCACTCCATGAACTTTTCAATTATCTTTTTGGAAATTTTAGATATCAGAAATTGTTATTATATCTTTCTTTTGTAAAGAAGCTAATCTTGTTTCAGCTGCAAATCCTAGTTTGATTTGATTTCCTTTAAGTAGATAATCTTTTTTATGAAAATCAACTTCTGGTATAGACCAATTATCAATAACTTTGTTTCACAAACAAGCTCAGTATGGTAGCAACAGTCTTTATACATGAATGGAACGATTGGCTTGTCAGTTTGGTACACCAATAAATATGGCTCTAATATTTTTTAAATTAGAAGTTTCCAGTTTTGTTGCCAAAACTGGAAACTTCTAATTTAAAAAAAACAAGTTTGTCTTTAACAACTTTTTTGACAATTAAAAAGTTTTTTGATTTGGATTACTTTGAAGATGGTAACTTATCCCTTTAAAAACTCAATTAACTTGCATATATTCAGGCTTGGTCGGGAAGCGGGAGCGATCGCTCTCGATTGCTGACCATGTAAATAATATTTAGTTGCGAAAAGCTGGCCAGATTTTTTAGTCGTTTTAAGAACATTTTAAAAAGCAAAAAAAAAAAAGCGACAAAAAATAATTGGACCGATGAGAGACAATTACAAAAAAAAAAAAAAAGTAGGCAAATAAAATATCTTTAAACGCGAAAAAACTTTAAGCTAAATAAATTACATTTAAAACAAATATTTTCGAAACATCACTTTTTTTAACTTTTTTTATAAAATTAAGCGATGTTTTTTGTAACAACTTACAATTGTTTAAAAGGGAAACAAATATTCTTTATTTAACTAAGTTTGCAAGTTTTAGTTTTACTTAAACTAAATTATTTTATAAATAAAAAAGTTAATTTTTTTAATACCTATTTTATGTTTCGCGTAGTTAGAAAAGTTTAACATATTTAAAGCGATTCTTCTTAGTAAGATAAACAAATGAAATAATTAAATCATTGAATTACTATAGGAATTAAATTATCAATATAGAAATCAACTAAAAAGGTTAAAAATACTTAATGACCAGGAAGCGAAACTGCTTCACAATATCGCTGATGATGTTTAGTGAGTGGGCTTTTTAATTTTAATTAGTATTTAAAGCAGAAAAAAGTATAACGAGTTTTAAGAATGGCTACTTAAGCGAAAATAATTAGAGTTAGTAAACCAATATCTAGAAACTTTTCTTTATATCTAATTATTTGCTATTATATATTTGTGTTCTGTCGTGACCTCAGGCGCGATGTTTGTTCATCCGCGAGTTACTTTGTATGCGTTGTTTGTGTTTAGTAACCAGAAACTTCTTATATGTTTGTTACATAATTAGTTTTATTAACTTTAATGATTATAACTTTGAAAACGCAATTACTTTTGTAAGTCTTTGTTTAAATCATAAAAATTGCTTCAAAAGATCAAAAGACATTACGATAAAAAACAGATACACAAAATTACATTTACATAAAGAATACAATCTCTTTTAAAATAAAAAATAAGAATATACAAATAAAATCTATGAATTAGAATAAACTTTTAAAATGTTGACAATTTAATTAATATATATTTAAAACATTTATTTTCGTAAACAAATAATATGTATTCTTAAAACAATGCTAGAAATCTCAAAACGAAACAAATCGTGAATAATACAATTTCTAAAACATTTTAACAGAATGCACTAGAACTTTATTTCGCTTAATCAGCGTTTTTTTTGAACCAATAGAATTAGTTTGTTTGTTAATTTGGCGGGTTTTTAGTGTTCGCAAATATTCTTTTTATTCTTTCGCACAAAGATGTTTTGAGAACATTCAAGTTTTTTATGTTTCCATGTATGTCCGTAAAACAAAAATTCTTTGTTTCGTACATAAACTTAAATGTTCTCAAAACGACTAAAAAATCTGGCCAGTTTTACGCAACTAAATATAATTTCCGTGGTCAGTATTCGAGAGCGATCGCTCCCCCTTCCCGACCAAGCCTGTATATTAGGCCAGATTTTTAGACTATCTGCAACAAATTTGTTTTAATCCCACCTTGTTGCACAAAAGAAAAGAGGGTATTTTGTTGCATTTCATATTTTTGATGCCTAGCCGGGCTGTCATGAAGAATTTGCCAACACTCATTCAGAGTTTCTTTAATATCCAATGTGGTTGATTCAATAGCTGTTTTAAAGGCACCATTATTATGAATTACATGCAAGGAGCAACTTCCAATATTTATAAGTTGTGGCATCTCGTTGTTTTATCTGTGTTTATTTAGATCATCTAGAAATTTTTAATTTGTAGAGTCCATCTATGGAAACTTGAAAGATTTACTTGAATCAAATCTTGATAAGTTTTTATTAAAATAAGTAAGAAGGTCAGAAGCTGTAGAATGACCAAAAAAAGCAAGAATGTCCAATATCACACTTTAACTTTGATTGAACAAGCAGGTACATCTGACATGTTTGAGTTATGTCGTTTAAACTCTCGTTAAAAGATGTGATGTAACAATCTAATTTTGTGATTTCTTCTTTTAAGAGTGTCTTGAAGTATGGCACTAGTCCATGGTTAACAATGTATAATACTTTTGCGGAACTCATAGTGAAATCTTCTGCTACCTTACTGTCAGGAAACATCTTTTTAAAAGAGTTGTTTTTTTATACATGAATTATTAGAGTAGTAGAACTATTATTAAGATTTCAGTGCTCATATGACCTCAGCGTTAGTTGATAAAGATGATTTAATTGAGAAATCAATAGTTTGTTTTTTGGTGAAAAATGTCGTATTTTTCTAAGCGGCTCAGCTCACAACTTTTTTCCATTAACAAAGAAACAACTAACAGGATTGATGTTTTTTACCTAAATATGGTGTTGTAACTAATCTTCTTGAAAATAGGTCTTCTCTGAAGTCATATCTTATGTTATTATATTCAATTAAATATTCATCTAAACATATGGTTACTATATTTTATAAAAGTTATAAAACCACTGTTTTGAGCAACTTTCAATAAAAATAAAAACTCAAAATTAGTATGTTACAAAATAACTTTAAGTTATATATAAATTTAAAAACATTCCTTGAGTTTTCCCTGATTTTAAAGATTTTCAAAATAAGTTCCCTGACTTTTCCAGGTATTCCCTGATTTTTCAGAATTGAAAAACTTTTCCCTGGTTTTCCCTGAGTGCCGTGAACCCTGTTCTAGTCATTATTATTGCAGTTTTTTTAAAAAACAATAAAATTTAATGTACTTCTGCATTAATTTAATTGCTTTGACATTTCAATGACAATAAAATGTAGCTTAATTGTCAAGATAACAAAATCGTAGTCAAAAGAGACTTTTTTTACATTAAAAGTCTCTTTCAATTATGATATAAGGATATATATATATAATTTATATATATTTTATATGTGTGTATATATATTTTATATATATATATATATATATATTTTATATATATATATATATTTTATATATATATATATATTTTATATATATATATATATTTTATATATATATATATATATATATATATATATATATATATATATATATATATATATATATATATATATATATATATATATATGTATATATATATATAAATTAGTAAATATATAAATATACAAAAAAAAAAAATAAAATACTTACTCCATACTGTTGAAAAAAAGAAGCTACTGCATCAGTCTCAATATTTCCGCTTAACAAAAGAGAACGAAGCTTTTCCAGAGGACGCAAAGTGGTTAAAATATGACTACCCTAAATGAAGTTTACACTTTACACTCATGCTCATATTGTTTACCCAGCTGATTCTCTGGTTCTAAGGATCACCCCCAGTAATAAAATAAAGCTTTTGGAAAATGATAAATTAGTTACTTTACTACTTTAATTAGCACTCTCCAAGCCTAGTGGATAACGCACAGAGATTCTAATCCATATTTTAGTTCCCATGTACCTTTAGTTCCCATGTTTATATTTTATAGGTTTAGTTCCCATGTACCTTTCAAATAATCATACCTATCATACCTATACCTTTCATATATACCTACTCATATAAACCTTTCATATATACCTTTCATACATGTGAAACATTAAGTCCTTATTTAAACCTGACTACACAAATTTAATATATATATGTAAATATAAATATAATCTGTTCATAACAGGAATGTAAATTAAAATCAGTATAATATATACTTAAAAATGATAATAGAAAGTTTATTTATTGTTAAAGAACTATAAATTAAATTGCTTATACTGAAGGTAAAAATCAAGTGCCATATAACATATAAATCGATGAGATACAATAGAAAAAAAGTCAAACTGTATATACTAAAGCAAAAAATAACACTACCTGAGCACTTAAAAGAACAAAACGACGAGCAGGTAGAACATGCTGTGTTATAATAGAAGGTGGATCTTGCAAATTTTCATTAAATAGATGAAATGGAGCAGAAGACAAACTTGTATAATCAGGAATTTCGGACAAACACCAAGTGCGCCCATTAATTGATATTACTGACTGAAAAGCAATTAAATAATAATATTGATTAATCTAGCCATAGAGGCAGCAGATATATACATATATATATATATATATATATATATATATATATATATATATATATATATATATATATATATATATATATATATATATATATATATATATATCAGGCTTTCACAGGAAGACGTGCGATTTCAAGTCTTTATATGACCACGCAAGTTACATTTTGCTATGACGGTTTGGCCGTGGCTAATTCAAAAAACGTTTTAGAAATGCGCTAAATAAAAAATATTCTAAAAAAATGAAATTAATTACATCAAAACTTCTTAACAAATGTTTTTATATTAGCAAAACGATTTTTAATAAAGTAAAAATTTACTGAAAAAAAGTTTTGTTTTTTAAATATAATTGACAGTTGTATATATTTTTTTAATTTAAAACATATAAATTGTTTAAGTGTTCATTTCTAAAATAAATCTTGTTAAAAAACAAAAAATTGTTTTGTTTTTATAAACGATGACATTCTACGGCTACGTTTTTATAAAAAAAAATTGTTTTGTTTTTATAAACGATGACATTCTACGGCTAGTCTCTTTAACGAATTTAAATATAAGAATGATTAAAGTTAATGCATTTAAAAAGATAAACAAAATTTTGTTGAAAAAAAAAGTTTTAGAAAACCGTTACTATTTAATAAGTTTGATCTTAAATGCTTTTATATTATCGAAACGCTTTTGATGGAGTAAAAAAAAAACGCTTCTAATTAATTTAAAAAAAAGTATTAATAAAATATTTTTTTATTTTATTTATATAACTATGTATTTTTTATGAGAAATATTTAACTTTTAAACATATTAAATAAATAAAAAATATATAAAAATATTGAAACAAAGAAAGGTTTTTTAATGCGTAAATTAAATAGACTAAGCATTTTAGTTTGATGAGTTTTGTTTTAGTTGCGTTATATATATGAATTTATTTTATTGTGTTTTTGCTTCAACTAAGTATTTATTTTTATTTTCTTTTTCGTTAATATTTATTATTTTTTTAAATTTTTTTTTCAGATAAGTTTAGGTAAGTTTTTGTAGCGCGTTTTTAAATTAAAAAAAATGCCGTGGTCAAATTGTTAAAAACATTTTTTTTTTGCGTGGTCATATAAAGACGTGAAATCGCACGTCTTTATATGACCTTTATATGACGCAAGCCTGTATATATATATATATATATATATATATATATATATATATATATATATATATATATATATATATATATATATATATATATATATATATATATATATATATAAATAGGCATCAGTGGAAGTAAATCAGTGTGAGAGCAGAGAACAGCTTTTTATGGGAGCTTTCAGATTTTACTTAAACGATAATGCTTTTCTTTTACAAATAACTTGGCAAATTTGATCATATTGTCATTGTTATATTACATAGTATTTCCCAAAAAAGATTTTAGATCTCTCTAGATTGCATATCTGTGTTTGAAAAGAAAAGAAATTTTTCTTTTTTCTACCAATTCTACTAAAACTTTAGAGTATAATTATGTAATATTTTTATTCACATTTATAATACTAAAATATCTGTTTGTGTATTGCTCTCTTTTTAAAGTTTTCAAAGATTTTTTTTTATTGTTTTGTTATTGAGTTCTATTTATGTGTCTATTTTTTACAGTTAAGCATGATTAAATCAATATTTTTACATATAATTTGACTTCTATAACGGTTTACTAGAATCACATGTTTTTTTCAATATGGAAAAGGCAAAAGATGTTTCACCCTCAAAAAAAAGAGAAGTTGGAGCATTATTGAAGAATACTTCTTATTCTCAAAGGTGTATAGCATCAATGACAAAGGTTTCAGTAGCAACAGTCAACGGAAAAAAAAAAAATCTGGACAAAAATGCTGATTATACTCCTCAACGAACAGGACATTGTGGTAGAAAATGGCTAACAACGCCAAGAGACGATAGAAAAATACAAAATTTTTGTCTAGATAATAGGAATAAGCCTAGGCGAATACTAACCACTTTAATACAAGATGCTGGAATACCAGTATCTCCAATGACAGTTCGTCGCCGACTCAAAAAACAAGGATTTCGATGCTGTCGACCTGCTAAAAAGCCTAAGCTCACTCTAGTAATGCAACAAAAACGCCTTGCTTGGGCTAAAAGTCATCAGCATTTGACCGTTGATGACTGGAAAAATGTAAGTACTTCATTTATAATTGTACACATTCCATTTAGAGATTTGCCTACATTAAAACTTTGACTTATAAGTTTTTTTGATGTTGTTTAGGTATGTTTCTCGGATGAATCGACAATCCAGATATTGATGAACAAATCACAGTTTGTGCGTAGACGAGTTGGAGAAAAATTTTACAAAGACTGCATCTTAGAACGTGTAAAGCATCCTCTAAGTATAATGGTATGGTCTGTCATTAGTGGACATGGAACAGGGCGCTTATATCGTTGAGGGAACTATGCGCCAGGACCAATACATAAAAGTTCTTGACACAAGATTGGTACCACAGTTGAAGGAATGGTTCCCAAAGAACCAAAAATTTACATTTATGCATGATTCTGCCCCATGCCATAAAGCAAAGAAAGTTACAGAGTACCTAAAAGCAAAGAAAATTCCAGTGCTACCATGGCCTGGAAACTCACCAGATTTAAACCCTATTGAAAATCTGTGGGAGATCATGAAAAGGGAAATTGCTTCTGAAATGATCACCAACAAAATACAATTAATTGAAAAGATGATCAAAGTCTGGCACAATAACATAGATATTCAAAATAATGCAATAAAATGCATAGAAAGTATGCCAAGACGTGTAGAAGCGGTAATAAGTGCCAAGGGAGGGATAACAAAATACTAAAATAAATCACCAATATGTAATCTTTTGCTTGTACAATAGTGGAATTATTTTTAAAAAAATATAAATAAGTATGTTTTTTATAATAAATATAGACCGCAACACTCAAAAGTTACGAAAAAATAGTCTGCAACCTTTTTATTTCTATAATAAATAACCTTTAACACATAATTTTCAAAAAAAAGACAGTGTTTCTAATAATATGAGCACCCACTATATATATATATATATATATATATATATATATATATATATATATATATATATATATATATATATATATATATATATATATATATATATATATATATATTAGCGCATCCCATTTTGAACCTTATGAACAAATTTTAATACGCGGAGTGTCGTAAAATAATCCCAAGGTATTGTTTTCTTAATGAAATTTTTTTATTTTTGTTTTTAGATGACTATTTATACTCGCGCCACTCTTTTAAAGTTTAAGACTTTTAATTTTTTTGAGTTTTTACGGGCATTTTCAAACAATCAGCGTGAATAGAAGTTTACAAATCATTAACTATATAATAATGTCATTACAAATAATGGAAGGTTTTTTATCTATACCGAGTGTGCGCATTTATATTACTATATTTTTGTTAACTGGTGATATTTTAAAAACACACAAATTCATTATGAAATTTATAAAAAATGTGGTTTTCAAACATGATTGCGTTGAGGCCCAATACACAGCAATTAGAAATTTGTTCGATGCTTTTTATGTCATACAGTTTAGCCAATTCAAGCCCTAGCTGTTTAAACAGAATTTGTACATGGTTAGCTAACTATCATGGTCGACCATTATTCTTGTTAACCTCCTGCCATCATATCAGAGAGCTTCATATAGCCGAAAATTAAACTGTTTAAATGGGGAATAAACTATTTATATCATAAAACCATAAAAGGTTAAAAAATAGTAAGGTAAAGATAAAACTGCTTCACTTAAAACAAAATGAATAAGTTTCTAATTTTAAGAATAATTACATATAGACGTTTAAGAAGAGCAGAAACTATTGTGAACTCGCGGAAAAAAGTCAGACCATTCAGGTGGAAACTAACAAAAATGAAGTTGTTTCACACACCTTGACTTTTATGAAATTTAAGTTGCATTTCTCTAAAATCAAGCAGGTTTTTATTCTGAGTAATAAAATACTTAAAGAGATCAATAGAATGGCTGACAAAATATCTCTCTTCAGGGAATCACGGTTTTTGACCTGCGACTTTTTTGATTCTGCAATTTTTAAAGTAAAACTTAATTTCATAAGTTGTGATATTTTAGTCTTATTATTTAAGAATAATTTATGTCATAAAGTAACAAATTGTTTAAAAAATTGAGATGTAAAATCAGATATAAAATACAAAAAAATAAGAAATTTTTTTTCTAATGATAGACTTTTCTTAAAATGAGTAGAAATATAATAAAAATGAAATAAATAGAATTAGCACTTTGATTTTGACTTGTCAAAAATAAATGTAATAAGTATTTAGCAATGTCATTTTAAACTAGGGTCCTGCGAATCACCTTTTTTGATATCGAATCGAATCACAAATCGAAGCAGGCATTAATTTGTAAATCGAATTGAATCTTGAATCAAATCAGCATTTTGAGGATGTTTTAGTTAAACCGAGATCACAATATAAAAATGGTAAAAAGTTCTGTATTCACAAACAAACGGAGGTCCGAAAAGATGAAAAAATGGATAAAATCAAAGCTGAAATCCTTCTGAAAGCAAGTTGATAAAGACCAGCCACTAGGTCTTGAGTTGTATATACACCAGACTACTGGTTAATATTTGATATTCTAAGTAATAGTTTGAAAAAGTGTCTACGGATGAGACTTCCTAAGACTTTTTGGGTAGAATGAATTCCAAAACTTTTAAAATCTTTCAAAGTTGCTAACAACATATCAGAAATCACAGCAAAAATGTAAATCTACTAAGCATAGTTTAAAAAATTTTTTAAAAACGGTAGGATATTTATTTCTTAAAACAATAATGTATTTCTTGTTTTAAGAAAAATATTTTGTAAAAAAAAATTCAATTTTGCTGTGCTTACAGTAAAATTTATTCAAAACAATATAGATTGTGTGATGAGCTTAGAGAAGCTTCAGAAGCTA